AAAGGGTCTCCCTAAGTTGCTGAGGCAGGCAGCTTTTGAACTTGAGATCCTCCTACTTTAGCCTCCTGAGCCTGTGGGATTATAGGCGTGCACCCCCATACCTCGCTGAAATAACTTATTAAATAACCTGCTTTGGGGAAAGGTGGTAAATGATCATTTTTTCAAGTAGTTTATACCATTAAATTTGAAAATGGACTTGGGATGTAATTCAGTAGGAGAGCACTTGCCTAGCATACATAAGGCCCTGGGGCCCTGGGTTCAGTTCCTATCAGCAACAACAGCAATTAAGAAATTAAATCCTTTTTGATGGTCTATAAGTAAATTGTGTATTCTTATTTTTTGGAAGTGTAGAAATTGAACCCAGGGCCTCATGCATGCTAGGCAAGCACTCTACCACTGAACCACACCCCAGCTCACAAATTTCATATTCTTTATTAACAACAACAGAAAATATTACAAATCTTTACTTTGTATCTAAAATTAAATCTCATTATCATAAATTCATATGTATTATCCAGATTCTAAAATTTGGCCAGGAAATTAAGACTTTTTTTTTTTTTTTTTTTTTTGGTATCTGGAATTGAACTTGGGCACTCGACCACTGAGCCACATCTCTAGCCCTGTTTTCTGTTTTACTTAGAGATAGAGTCTCACTGAGTTGCTTAGTCCCTTGCTGTAGGACTTAGCATTTCCTAGCACTAAATCTTCAAGTAATGACCTTTTTTGGGGTGGGGGAGGTGGGGGGGTTACCAGAGATTGAACCCAGGACATTTAATCATTGATCCACATCCCCAACCCTCAATTTTTTTTTTTTTTTGGTATGGGGTTTGAACTCAGGGCCACTCGACCACTGAGCCACATCCCCATCCCCAATCCTGTTTTGTATTTTATTTAGAGACAGGGTCTCACTGAGTTGCTTAGGGCCTTGCTTTTGCTGAGGCTAGTTTTGAACTTGTGATACTCCTGTCTCAGCCTCCTGAGCTGCTGGGATTATAGGTGTGCACCACTGCACCTGGCCCCAGTCCTTTTTGGAGACAGAGTTTTGCCAAGTTGCTTAGGGTCTGAATTGCTGAGGCTATCTTTGAACTTGAGATCCTTCTGCTTCAGCCTCCCAAAATACTGGGATTACAGATTGAGCCCAGCTGGAGTAATGACTTTTTTTTTTTTGTGGTACTAGGTATTAAACCCAGGGCATTTATTGATTGATTGATTGATTGATACTAATGGCACATGTTCTACCCCTGAGCGTAACCTCAAACTTGTGATTCTTCTGCCTTCGTTTCCTGAACAGCTGGGTTTATAGTTGTGTACCACCACTCTTCTGGCTTTGAAGGATTGATTTTATTTTTATTTTTATTTATTTTATTTTATTTTTAATTTTTTTCCAGTACTGGGGATTGAGTGTTAGGGGCACTTTATATCAATAAGCTATAGGCCCAGCCCTTTTTCATTTTGAGGCCGAGTCTCACTGCTTTTCCCAGACTGACTTAAACTTGCTATCAGCCTTCTATATAGATGGAATTACAGGCAGTAGTCACTGTGACTGACTTCAATTAGAAGACATTTATTAGAACCCTTCTATATCATGTCTTCATCACTTTATAAAGCTACTTTTTACTTAGTGTCCTACACTAAAGGCTGTAATGTTGTTAAATATTGTAGTTTGAAGGTTTATTACCAAACTTCCAACATGTTTAGTACATTGGAATTTGTTGAAACAGGATTTCACCTTTATTCATATTGTGTGCCCTGAACTGGTAGTATATATCCTATCAAACACTCTTTCCTTCTTAAAATAAATATGTGAAAATGTAGTGTTTTAGAAGGAATGTACATTTTTCATAGTAGTGAACTTTATTATATGAACCCATGAAGTAAACTTTGTAGAAAATAAAGCCTAAATATAAAACATGTGTTAAACTTGCTTCAGTAGCAATGGTTAGACAATTCATAGTTCAGATCCTTTGATGTTTATCTTTCTTCTGGTGAATCAGAACTAACAAAATTGATTCTCAAATCATGAGGAATTAAGATTTTAATTAAAAAGAATATCTGAGGCCTGGGGATATAGCTCAGCTGATAGAGTGCTTGCCTTATATGCACAATGCACAAGGCCCTGGGACCACAAAAAAGAATTTCTTATGCTGGGTATGGTGGCACATGCCTGTAATTTCAGCATTTTGGGGGACTGAGGCAGGAAGATCACAAGTTCAGAGCTAGCCTTAACAATTTAGAAAGACCCCCTGTCTCAAAATAATGTATAAAAAGGGGGTAGAGATGTACCTAAGTGGTTAAATGTGCCTGGGTTCAATCCTTTGTACCCCCCCCCAAAAAAGAATGATTATTAAAATAAAGAATGAAAAATAATACCTAATAATAATTGAGAAATTATGAATTTTCCTTCCCTGAATATATTAGCTATAGAAGAAGAAATTTTAAATCTCTTTACTTATTTTTTTTGGTACCAAGGATAGAACCCAGGGGCACTTAATCACTGATCCACATCCCAGCCCATTTTATTTTTGAGACAGGGTCTCACTAGCTTGCATTGCTGAGGCTGGCTTCAAATCTGTAATCCTCCTGCCTCATCCTGTTAAGTGGCTGGAATTATAGGCCTATGCTACCATGCCTGGCTAAATGAGAAGAAATTTTAAATATCTGTATTGCAATAGCAGGCACACTGGTGCATACCTGTAATCTTAGCAACTTTGGAGGCTGAGACAGGAGGATTGCAAGTTCAAGGACAGCCTGGGTAACTTAGACTCTCAGTAACTTAGTGAGACTCTGTCATAAAATAAAAAAGGATTGAGGATGAAGCTCAGTGGTAAAGTTCCCCTGGATTCAATCACCAATATAAAAAAATAAAAAATCTATTGTATACCTTACTGAAGACTTTTCTGGTAATGGGCTTTTTTACCATGGTAGAAAAATGTGAGTGTAGATTGTGATGTGTGTTCATCTCTACTAGAAATTCATAATGTTTCAGATGATTATTCTGTACTCCATTAACTACCTACTTCTAGTTGATGTATGATACAAACTAATATACATTCTATTGCTCTGTTTACAAGGGATTAAAATGATAGAAATTAGTAAGAATTAATAGCTCTTGAAATTGTGTTCTTGTATTTTAAATAAATAATATTCTTTCATGGGAAAGAGAATTTCACACACAAAGAGCAGCAAGATGTTTTATAATAATTTTTTATGAGGGCCAGATGCAGTGGCACATGCCTATAATCCCAGTGATATAGGAGGCTGAGACAGAAGAATAACAAGTTAGAGGCCAACTGCAGCAACTTAGCAAAACCCTGTCTCAGCATAGAAAATTAAAGAAAAAAGACATTGCAGGGGATATGCCTGTTTTTTTTATGATTTCAGAAAGTATTCATGATCAGAAAAATAGAGGATCTTGGAGGAGTTGTTAAGATTATCAAATTCTTTTCAACTTTCTGATAATTTTAAGGAATAGAAAAGAATTGATAAGTAGCCTAGTTTATTTGTAGGCATGAATTAGTGTACTGCACTGTAGATGTCTGTGCTGAGGGTGTGCATGGCACAAAATTAATCTTATAAATAAATAAATTTAGATAGTTTACCCAGTGACTTGGGAGGCAGAGGCAGGAGGATTGTAAATTCAAAGCCAGCCTCAGTAAAAGCTGGCTAAATAAATACAAAATAGGGGGGTTGGGGTTGTGGCTCAGCGGTAGAGTGCTTGCCTAGCTAATGGGAGGGATCGATTCTCAGCACCACATATAAATCAATAAAATAAAGGTATTGTGTCCGACTACGACTAAAAAATAAATATTAATTAAATAAATAAATAAATACAAAATAGGGCTGGGGATGTGGGTCAGAAGTTGAGTGCCCCTGGGCTGGGGATGTGGCTCAAGCGGTAGCGCGCTCGCCTGGCATGCGTGCGGCCCGGGTTCGATCCTCAGCACCACATACAAACAAAGATGTTGTGTCCGCCGAAAACTAAAAAATAGATATTAAAAAAAAACTTAAAAAAAAAAAAAAAAAGAAGTTGAGTGCCCCTGATTTCATCCCCAGTGCCCCCCCACCACCAAAAAATAGATGGTTTAAAAAATTGGGTCCAAAACGGACTCTTCTATTTATTCCAGGAAAGAAATCTTTTTTTTTTTTTTTTCCTTCCCATTTACTGTTATAATTTTGTGTGGCTATCATGTTAATCACCAGTTGCTTAAATGATTCTGAAATAATTGCTTGGATTCTTTTTCTCATTTTTAGAATTATTTGTTTATTTATCTGGTCGGAGATGGTTGCTGCATTCTTTTTCCAAATAGAATAATTCAGTATATTTTCCACTAGTTTTGATTTCCAACAAAGTTATATTTCTTTGTTGTTGTTGTTATCATTATTTTAGTTGTAGATTGACACAATACCTTTATTTTATTTATTGTTATGTGGTACCGAGGATTGAACCCAGTGCCTCATGCATGCTAGGCGAGCACTCTACTGCTGAGTTACAACCCCAGCCCCCTAACTTAGTTATATTTCTTATAAAACACTGTAACTTCTTTTTTCCAAGTTCCTTCTATATTTTTAATAATAAAGTAGTTTTTAAGTTATTGAGTTTTCATTCATTTTTTTTTTAATCTTTGTTGATTAAAGTATAGAGTAGGTTTGGTAAATTCTATGAGTTGCAGTGATACATTGTGAATTCAGAGATTAATTCTTGCATTTTATTACATCTTCATAAAAATCTAAAGATATTGAGGAAAGAATTTATAAAGAAAGTGTAAATAATATCAAATTTTTTATTGTTTCTTTAGTATGCTGTAGATGTCTCTTTTTGCAAAATTCCAATTTGCTTAGCTGTGATAAACTAATTCCTTGTGTTACATTACAGATTTTTTTCCTTAAAAGTAAAATCGTTGAAATATTTTAATAGCTAGGCATTATTACCTTCTTTGTGAAGTTTTATTTACATATCTCTTAAGTAATTTGCAATCTTTTTCTTCCCCTCTATTATTTAGCCCAAAAGAAATTCTTCCTTCAAAACCTGTAAAGAAAGAGAAGGAACAGAGGACACGTCACTTACTCACCGACCTCCCTCTCCCTCCTGAGCTCCCTGGTGGGGATCCATCTCCCCCAGACTCTCCAGAGCCAAAGGCAATTACACCACCTCAGCAACCATACAAAAAGAGACCAAAGTGAGTTTTGGGGGGAGTCTGTCTTTAATAGTTGTCTTGCTTACTTTTGTGTTTTTCCACAACACATATCAGTAAGGTCATAGAAGTTTGTTCTCAGCAAGTCCAGGGGCTTATGCCTGTAATCCCAGGAACTTGGGATTCTGAGGCAGGAGAATTGCAAGTTTGATGCCAATTTCAGCAACTTAGCAAGGCCCTCAGCAATTTTAGGAAGACCCTGTCTCAAAAGAAAAAATAAAATGGACTGGAGATTAGTTCTCTGGTAAAGCATCCAGTGTGTGCATGTTGGCACCCTGATGGTAAGGATTGAACACATGTGTTCCATCCCCAGTACCTGCCCCCCTCAAATAAATAAATAAAAGACAGTGATGTCTGGTCTTAATGTGTGTGTATGCGTGTGTATGTGTGTGTGTTTGTGTATTTTTTAAATTTTTTGGTCCTGGGGGTTGAACTTGGGGGCACTTAGCCACATCCCCAGCCCTATTTTGTATTTTATTTATTGACAGGATCTCACTGAGTTGGTTAGTGCCTTGCTGTTGTTGAGGCTAGATTTTTTTTTTTTTAATTGTAGACAGACAAAATACCTTTATTTATTTATTTTGTGTGGTGCTGAGGACTGAACCCAGTGCTTTACGAATATTAGGCCATCACTCTACCACTGAGCCATAACTCCAGCCCTCTGAGGGTGGCTTTGAACTCACGATCCTCCTACCTCAGCCTCCCAAGCTGCTGGGATTATAGGTATGTGCCACCAAGCCCAGCTTCTGAAGTATATTTTTACAGTCAAAACACTCTTTAGGAAAACCCTTTTATCTGGTCCCACAGATAACCTGGCTAGGTTTTTAGAAAAGTAATAAATTCCCAAATCCATATTGAGTGATCTCATTGTCTTTTTTAAAAAAAATTTTCCTTTTAGTTGTATTTGGGCACAATAGCTTTATTTTATTTATTTATATTTATGTGATACTGGAGATTTGAACCAGGGCCTCGCACATGCTAGGCAAGTGTTCTACCGCTGAGCTCCAACCCCAGCCCTTCATTGTGTCTTTTGAGTTCATGATACTAACAGTGTTAAAGAAGTAAAAAGCCCTTTTAATTCAGGGTGCCAACATGCACACATTAATGAAATATTATTTTTTTTCCCAAAAAGCATATAAATTGTCACAATGTAAAGATAGTGTAAACTGGGTCTACTTTTATTGATTTCATCTCTCTGTTAATAAAAATAGTTACCAAATATTTTTTTATGAATTTTTAAATATTTATTTTTTTTTTTAGTTTTCGGCAGACACAACATCTTTGTTTGTATGTGGTGCTGAGTATCGAACCCGGGCCACCGCATGCCAGGCGAGCGCGCTACCGCTTGAGCCACATCCCCAGCCCCCGTTACCAAATATTAAGCATGTGTTAACTGCCAAAGTTTTATATTTTATTTTCATAGTAAGCCTAGGATATAGGGATTCTTTCCCCATTTTATAACTGAAGCCAGTATTGAAGAGAGATCACAAAGTGAGCAACCAACTTATTATTTGATCCCCAGTCTTCCTGAAGCCAGAATCCTAACTCTTTTTCTCATTGTCAAAGATTTTTTTAAGCTATTTTATATCATTTGACTTCTGCCTTTTCAATAAAAAAATTTAGACAATACAGGAGTTAGACACACATTTAATTGTGTAAAATATCATGTTTTATTAAAGATTTTCTGTCAAAGATGGTAATGGTGATAAAGGAGCCAGTGGAGTCATCATGAAAAAATAACATTTTTAACTATTTTTATTTTTAGAATTTGTTGTCCTCGTTATGGAGAAAGACGACAAACAGAAAGTGACTGGGGGAAACGATGTGTGGACAAGTTTGATATTATTGGGATTATTGGAGAGGGAACCTATGGCCAAGTATATAAAGCCAAGGACAAAGACACAGGTAAATATTGCCATAAAAGCTTTGATGTTGGGTTAACAGTTTAACAAATCTAATTGTTTTTTTTTTTTTGTGTGTGTGTGTGTGTGTGGTGCTGGGGACTGAACCCAGGGCCTTGTGTGTGTGAGGCAAGCATTCTACCAACTGAGCTATATCCCCAGCCCCAAATCTGATTGTCTTAAGAGGATTATCAAAAACAAATTTTGTCTTTTAATTTAATTTGATTGCCAAAAGTTATTAAATAGACTAACATTTTTCAAAAGAAAACTGCAGCCAGGCTCTGTGATGCATGCCTGTAATCCCAGCTACTCAAGAGTCTGAGGCAGAAGGATTGTCAATTTGAAGGCAGCCTGGGCAGTTTAATAAGACCCTGTTACAATTATGAAAAAGCAGGGAAAGTGGAGCTAGAGATGTAGATTAGTGGCAGAGCACTTGCCTACCATGTGTGAGTCCCTGGGTTTAATCCCCAGTACTAGAAGGTGGGGTGAGGTATTCATTTCAGGACTTTTTTTTTCCTTTTTTAATATTTATTTATCTTTAGTTTTAGGTGGATACATTAGTTTGATTTTATGTGGTGTTGAGGATCGAACCCAGTGCCTCATGCATGCTTGGCGAGCACTGTACCACTGAGCCACTACCCCAGCCCCTCATTTCAGGACCTTTCATATCAAAATCTGCAAATACTCAAGTCCCTTATGTAAAATGGCATGGTATTTGCTTTTATGCCTGTTCACATCCTTCTGTATACTTTAAATCATCCATAGAGTACTTACAGTACCTAATTCAAGGCAAAGTTATGTAAATCAAGAGTAACATCTGTACATAATCAGTACAGGCACAATATTTCCCTTCAATAGGTTTAATCCACAATTGGTTGAATCTATATATGTAGAACCTATGGACATAGAAAGAGAACTGTACAATAATTATTCTTTGTGTGTGTGTGTGTGTGGTTTGGGTATGGTTTTTTTTTTTTTTTTATTGGTTGTTCAAAACATTACAAAGCTCATGACATATCATCTTTCATACATTTGACTCAAGTGGGTTATGAACTCCCATTTTTACCCCAAATACAAATTGCAGAATCACATCGGTTACACATTCACATTTTTACAAAATGGCATATTAGTGACTGTTGTATTCTGCTACCTTTCCTATCCCCTACTATCCCCCCTCCCCTCCCCTCCCATCTTCCCTCTCTACCTCATCTGCTGTTGTTCAATTCTCTCCCTTGTTCGCCCCTCTTCCCCCCTTTTTTTTTTTTGGTACTAGAGATTGAACTCGGGCACTGAGCGACATCCCAAGCCCTATTTTGTATTTTATTTAGAGATAGGGTCTCACTGAGTTGCTTCATTCATTCCTCACCATTGCTTAGGCTGGCTTTGAAATCGCAGTCTTTCTGCCTCAGCCTCCCAAGCCGTTGGGATAATAGGCCTGTGCCACCAGACCTAGCACACAATAATTATTCTTTTAAAACATTTCTCTTAGTCGGGCACTGTATTGTACACCTGTAATCCCAGTGGCTCAGGAGGCTAAGACAGGAGTATCATGAATTCAAAGCCAGCCTCAGCAATGTCGAGGCACTTGCCAACTCAGTGAGACCCTGTCTCTAAATAAAATACAAAATAGGGCTGGGAATGTCTCTCAGTGGACAAGTGCTCCTGAGTTTAATCTCGATGTTGAGTAGGAGGATCTCAAGTTTTAGGCCAACCTCAGCTACAGTCCTAAGCAACTTAGCAAGACCCTGTCTCAAAAAATAAAAGAGAGATGGGAATGTGGCTCATTGGTAGACTGCCCCAAGTTAAATCCCCAGTACTTTAAAAAAAAAAAAAAGTCCTCTTTTTATGGTTCATTCTAACATTCTGTAGCTTCCTGGAAATAAATAAATTTATTTATTTATTTATTTAGGATTGGTAATTAAACTTAAGAGAAGTTTACCACTGAACTATATCCAGAATCCTTTTTTTAATTTAATTTTAATTTTTTGGTAACAGGTATTGAATTTAGGGGCACTCAACTATTGAGCTGCATCCCCAGCCCTGTTTTGTTATTTATTTAGAGACAGAGTTTCACTGAATTGCTTAGTGCCTCACCATTGCTGAGGCTGGCTTTGAACTCGCAATCCTCTTGTATCAGCCTCTGAGCTGCTGGGATTATAGGTATGTGCCACTGCGCCCAGCTATATATATTTGTTGTTGTTGTTGATAGACTTTTTTTTTTTTTTAATTTTATTAGTCGTTGACGGACCTTTATTTCATTTATTTATATGGTTCTGAGAATTGAACCCAGTGCCTCACACATGCTAGGCAAGTACTCTGCCACTGAGCCACAACCCCAGTCTATCCTTTTAATTTTTTACTGTGAGATTGGGTCTTGTTGAATTGCTGAGGCTGGCCTCAACTTGCGATCTTCCTACCTCAGCCTCCCAAATCGCTGGGATTACAGGTATATACCACCATGCCTGGTTGCTCCCTGGAAATTTTAAAAGGGAGAAAATAAAAGTTGTAGGGTTGTAGGGGAGAAGTTCTTGAAATTTAAAATGAAATATTTAATTATTGGTATGTTTTAATAATTCAAACTTTTAGGCCTAACTGAATTTGAAAATAACAAATCCAAATTAAAAAAAAATACATTTGACAAGAAAGGAACATAGTTCCCATAGACGATTGAGGCAGGAAGTTTGAGGCCAACAGTCGCAACTTAGTGAGCCCCTTAGGAGTTTAGTGAGACCCTGTCTCAAAATAAAAATATAAACTAAGAACAGTGGTGCACACCTGTAATTCCAGTGCCTTGGGAGGCTGAGGCAGGAGAATCAAGAGTTCAAAGCCAGCCTTAGCAAAAGTGAGATGCTAAGTAACTCAGTGAGACCCTGTTTCTAAATCAAATACAAAAAAATAGGACTGGGGATGTGGCTCAGTGGTCATGTGCATGTGAGTTTAACCCTTAGTACCAAAAAAAGGAAAAGAAAAATAGAAAGGACTGGGATGTAGCTCAGTGGTAAAGTGCTTCTGGATTCAATTCCTTATCAAAATAAGTAAAGAAAAGAATATAAAGAACATAGTGGGGGCTGGGGATATACCTCAGTTGGTAGTGTGCTTGCCTTGCATGCAGAAGACCCTGGATTCAATCCCCAGCATGCATAAATGAATGAATCAATGAATGAATGAATCAATGAATGAATGAATAAAAATAGATAAATAGGGGATGGGATGTAGTTCAGTGTTAGGGTGCATTCTTAGGGTAAATTGAGTCCCTAATACCGAAAAAGAAAAGAAAGAATGGGAAATGTAAGTTTTTGTTTTTGGTGCTGGAGCTTTAATTCAGGGGAGCTCTACCACTGAGCTACATTCCCACTCTTTAGGGTCTTTCTAGATTGCTGAGGGCCTCACTAATTTGCTGAGTTTGGCCTTGAACTTAAGTACTTTTGCCTTGGCCTCCCAATCACTGGTATTGTAGGCAAGTGTCACTGCCTCTGGCAGGATTTTTTTTTTTTTTTTAAGGAAATAAAAATAGGTATTAAGTGTCTTTTAGAACAAGGGCATATAATACTGGTTCATGATTGTGGATAAAAAATGTTAAATTTGGACTGGAGTTGTGGCTAAGCGGTAGAGTGCTCACCTAGCACATGTGAAGCACTGGGTTCAATCCTCAGCACCACATAAAAATAAAATAAAGGTATTGTATCTACCTACAACTAAAAAATATATATTAAAAAATGTTGAATTTGTTTTGGCAGGAGAACTAGTAGCTCTGAAGAAGGTGCGATTAGACAATGAGAAAGAGGGATTCCCAATTACAGCCATTCGTGAGATCAAAATTCTTCGTCAGTTAATCCACCGAAGTGTTGTTAACATGAAGGAAATTGTTACAGATAAACAAGATGCACTGGATTTCAAGAAGGACAAAGGTACTGGCAATGAATCATGTGTCTACAGGATTTTTAAAAATTTTCCTCTCTTAGCTTGTTTTCCTATGTGAATTTTTAAACGGGTTGTGCTGAAGTCTAGCTTTTTCCCTTAATCTATTCCAGAATTAAGATGTTGGCAGATTGTGCCAAATGGTGTTGATTTTTTTGTAGTGTCCATTTTGCATCAATATACTCTGTATACTTCTTTTACTTTTTGTTTTATTTTTTAGTTGTAGTTGGACACAACACCTTTATTTCACTTGTTTAATTTTATGTGGTGCTGAGGATCGAACCTAGGGTCTCACACATGCGAGGCGAGCGCTGTACCACTGAGCCACAACCCCAGCCCACTCTGTATACTTTTTAAGCATCATTGTCAATATTAAAATGTGCATTTAGGTATGTAGGGTGTGCTATAACACCTTATAAAGCCAGCAGATAAACTTATCCAGATTTTTGTTTGTTTATGTGTAGCTCTGGGGCTCAATCCCAGGGCTTGATATAACATTTTGTGGGGGTTTCGTTTTTGTTTTTACAAAGTTTAAAATAGTAATTGACATTAAAACCCAGATTATTTAGGCTGGGTTACTCATACGCACACCTGTAATCCTAGCAATTTGCGGGGCTGGGCAATTTAGCAAATCCTTGACTCAATAAAAGGATTGGAGATGTAGTTCAGTGGTAGAATGCCCCTTTTACCCAATACTGCCAAAAAAAAAATCCAGAACCCAGATTTATCCATTACTCTCATGGTTACATCATCACTGTTTGTTATTGTCTATATGCATCCATATTTTTATAACAGTTTTGCATTGATACAGTTTAGAAATTCAAAGCAAGATTTTTGTTTTTGTTTTAGAGCATTATAGTTATACATAGTACATGTGTTCATTTTGACAAAATCATACATGCATGGAATTTGATTTCGGTCCCCTTCCTCACTGTCTTCTCTTCCCTCCTCCCTCTCCCATTCTCTTTTCTCTACTCAGTGCAGGTGTTTTCTAAAAATATTTTCATCAGATCACATAATGGTTTGATTATTGGAGTTGTAACTTTTGTCTCTGTTTGAGAAAATTGTTCATTGTTTTCATACTTATGTTTGAAGTAGTTTATACATTACATCATCCAACCTATTTTTGTACAACAAATCTGAAGAAGATTTAGAGATAGGCAATTGAAAATAGAGTCAAGTGAAGAAATGGCATCTGTGAATACATTCTGAATGTTAGAAGGTGATTGAAGTATATAAAACCAGAAAGGTAATAGATAAAAAGTTAAGCTTGACTATAAACAGAGCCTTAAGGATATTGGCACTAGGGGAGGAGCCATCCTAGGCATAATTCTGTGTATATTTAAACTTTCGGAATATACAAATATTATGTAACTAGTTTCAGTAAGAATGCATAGAAAATGTTACTTGGTTGTTTCTGGAGAGGTGCTTACTTTCATTCATACCACTCTTTACTGTTTGTTTGTTTATTTATTTATTTATTTTTAATATTTATTTTTTAGTTGTAGTTGGACACAATACCTTTATTTTATTTATTTTTATGTGGTGCTGAGGATTGAACCCAGGCCTCACACATGCTAGGCAAGTGCTCTACCGTTGAGCCACAACCTCAGCCTGCACTCTCTACTGTTTAAATAAATCATTTACTATGAACTACCTAAATTCATTTTGAAAAAAATTATAAAAATGAATGAATGGATGTGATACATGGGAAAACTGATTATAAAAATATTGAAAATTTGGAACAGTAAGAAAACAAAATGGCAATCATTTTTCTTTTAATTTAAATTTTTTTTTTTTTAAAAAAGAGAGAGATGAGAGAGAGAGAATTTTAATATTTACTTTTTAGTTTTCGGCGAACACAACATTTTTGTTTGTATGTGGTGCTGAGGATCGAACCCGGGCCGCACGCATGCCAGGCAAGCGCGATACTGCTTGAGCCACATCCCCAGCCCGGCAATCATTTTTTTCCCACTCCATCCTACCGCACCATTCTTAGAAAAAACCACTGTATTATTAACATTTTGGTATATTTGTTTCTAGTACTTTATATTATACATATTATATTTATTTGAACATAACTGAGATCCAAGTGTATTTAATGTTATATAACCTAACAAAAGCAGTTTCCTATATCATTAAATATGGCATAAAGATGCATGAAAACAAATTTACTAGTCCCTTTTGAGCCTTTAATTAGCAGTGTTTAAAAATATTGGGCTGGGGTTATGGCTTAGCAGTAGAGAGCTCATCTAGTACATGCGAGGTTCTGGGTTTGATCCTCAGCACCACATAAAAATATATAAACAAAATAACGGTAATGTGTACAACTAAAAAATAAATATTAAAAAAATATTAAGCCTGCAATTCCAGTGGCTTGGGAAACTGAGGCAGGAGAATTGTGAGTTTAAAGCCAGCCTAAGCAATGGCGGGGCACTAAACAACTCGGTGAGACCCTGTCTCTAAATAAAATACAAAATAGGGCTGAGGATGTGGCTCAGTGGTCAAATGCCCCTGAGTTTAATCCCTGGTACCAATAAATGAATGAATATATATATATATATTCTCGAACGTGCTAGGTGAGCTCTCTACTGCTGAGCCACAACCCCAGCCCAATATTTTTAAACACTTCTAATATATATATATGCATGCATATATATGTGTGTGTGTGTGTGTGTGTGTGTGTGTGTGTGTATGTATTATGCTTCTAGTTCTAGTCCTGGCTATTCAGGTGATTGAGGCAGGAGGGTGACTAGTTCAAGGCCAGGTTCAGCAACTTAGCAAGGCCCTCATCACTGTCTCAAAATAAAAAATAAATGGATAGAGGTGTAGTTCATTTGTAAAGTTCCCCTAGCCTACCTCCTACGTTCAAAAAAAAAGTTTAAAATGTTTCATACTGTTTCACATATTTAAGGGGTCCTTAAAGCCTACCCCCAGACTGAGTTCCTGTCTTCAGCTGGCTGTGTAGATCAGTAGTAGAGTGCTTGGCTCTCTAGTAGCATTCATAAGGCCCTTGGTTTATTCCTGAAAAAACAAAAACAAAACAAAATCCATGCCTTTACATTCTTAGTAAAAAGAATTTTAGACTGGGTAGATCATTATCTATTTCTTATATTTCTTTTGTTATAATATTTGCCTCTATGATGTACCTGCCAAAAGGTAGTGTGGGTTTCAAGTTGTTTATAGTATTCCCTTTTGTTTTGTTATTGGTGCTGGGGATTGAACCTGGGGCCTTGTGCATGTGAGGCAAGCACTCTAATAACTGAACTATATCCTCAGCCCGTTAAGTATTTTCTCTTAATGTATGTCTCCTTTTAAAATCTATTTCTGGCTGGGCTCCGTGGTGCATGCCTATAATCCCAGCAGTTTAGGTAGCTGAAGCAGGAGGATGATAACTTCAGAGCCAGCCTTAGCAACTCATATGAGGCCCTAAGCAACTTAATGAGACCCTGTTTCAAAAAATAAAATGGTTGGGCAGGGCGTGGTTGCACATGCCTGTAATCCCAGTGACTCTGGTGGCTGAGACAGGAGGATCCTAAGGCATCAAACAACTCATTGAGACCCTGTCTCTAAACAATATACAAAAAAATAGGGCTGGGGGGCTGGGGTTGTGGCTCAGTGGTAGAGCACTTGCCTAGTATATGTGAGGCCCTGGGTTTGATCTTCAGCACCACATATAAATAAATAAAGGTATTGTGTCCATCTACAACTAAAAAAATACATCTACAACCTAAAATAAATAAAAATAAAAAGGCTGGAAATGTGGCTCAGTGATTTAAGTGCCCTGGGATTCAGTTGCCAGTACCAAAAAAAATAAAATAATAATAATAATAATAATAAATTAATTTAAATAAATCTTCTGAATTTAGGAAGTTGAATTAGGTGATTGACTTTTTTTCTTTTCTTTTCTTTTTTTTTTTTTTTTGGTACAGGGGATTGAACTCAGGGACACTCAGCCACTGAGCCACATCTCCAGCCCTATTTTGCATTTTATTTAGAGACAGGCTCTCACTGACTTGCTTAGCACTTCACCATTGCTGAGGCTGGCTTTGAACTCTCAATCCTCCTGCCTCAGCCTCCTGAGCCACTAGGATTCAGGTGTGCCCCACTGCATCTGACTTGATCGACCTATGTTTTGATTCTTACGTACTTTGACTTTCACTAATAGTTTTTGCTAACTACACTAGGCTGCCTCTGTTGCTGCCTATTATCTAAGGAGGTAAAGACCTTTTCTTTTTTTTTTAATTTTTATTGTTGTTCAAAACATTACATAGTTCTTGATATATCATATTTCACACTTTGATTCAAGTGGGTTATGAACTCCCATTTTTACCCCATATACTGATTGCAGAATCACATTAGTTACACATCCATTGATTTATAAGACCTTTTCAAAAGTAGTCTTAGACAATATATAATAAATGGGTAGGGTTAAATTATAAACAAAACTTTATTTACATTAGTCAACAGACAGAATTTGGCCCAAGGTCTATAATTTCCTAAGTGATCATATAAAGTCTTTTAATACAATCTTTTTTTTTTTTTTTAAATATTGTTTTAACTGTTAATGGACCTTTACTTATATGTGGTGTTGAGAATCGAACCCAGTGCCTTGCACATTCTAGGCAAGCACTCTATAATTGAGCCACAACACGAGACCTCTTAATATAATCTTATCATGACAGTTGTCCTCTAAAGATTTAAATAGAGGAGTTGGGGATGTGGCTCAAGCGGTAGCGCGCTCGCCTGGCATGCGTGCAGCCCGGGTTCCATCCTCAGCACCACATACAAACAAAGATGTTGTGTCCGCCGAAAACTAGAAAATAAATATTACAAAATTCTCTCTAAAAAAAAAAAAGATTTAAATAAACAAAGAGAAGTGGAATCAGAAAATCAAATTCAAATGGTTTGGAAAGAAAATTATTTAAGTTTTTAATTTCTTCATCTATAAAAATAAGGGAGGGGTTATTTTAGAGTGCCTCATGATCAACTCCAAAATTTTTATTATTATTATTTTTTTCCTATGTAGGTGCCTTTTACCTTGTATTTGAGTATATGGACCATGACTTAATGGGATTGCTAGAATCTGGTTTGGTGCACTTTTCTGAGGACCATATCAAGTCATTCATGAAACAACTAATGGAAGGATTGGATTACTGTCACAAAAAGAATTTCCTGCATCGGGATATTAAGTGTTCTAACATTTTGCTGAACAACAGGTAACATAGTAACCAAATAAGGTCAAGCATTCTCTCCTTCTCAGCTAGCTAATTGGACTTATAAATAGATTTAGTAATGCAATTTTTTTCCTTTTACATACATTTGATGTTTTTACATTAGGAATAACTACTTATGATAGGGGTACTCTGATCAGAGAGCCACCAGACTCATTATTGGTAATAACGAATTAACAGAAAAGTAGGATTATAAAGATTTTTCTTATACGCATTATAGGGAATCACTCAGATCTTATAGGAATATTCAGAGAGCTCTTTGCTGTAATTAGAAAATAATGTGACCCTAAGCAAAGTCAAATATACATTGGATTCTTAGTGATATTTGCCTCGTTGAGTGGAGAAAAACATGCCTGCTTCTTGAACTGTTCATAAGCCTTTAGGGGTTACTGTCTTTTCGAGTAAACAGAGGTTTAGTTAGTAATTGGCCTTTCTAGCCATTACTTCTTCTAGGTTTTAATAGTGTAAACAGTCAGGATTTTGGTGATGAACAAGTGTTAATTTTCCAGAAGATTTTACCATCTGCTTTCTTCTTTTCTGATTATGTGCCTACACTGGTAATGATGATATATCAGATATGTTATGCTCAGTATCCTTTAGTATATCCCTACCTGCTAAGGGATGAACAAGAAGTCTGGTACCACTGAAATCAGGGCAGTGTTTGGTTCTTTAGACAGCTGGGTTTTTGCATCCATCTTTGCATTTTATTTTTCTGTTAAATGCCAACAAATATTACCTAGATAAAAATATAAAATGACTACGACATATTTTCTCTCTCTCTTTTTTTTTTTTTTTTTTTTTGTTGTTTGTTTGTTTGTGATGCTGAGATAGAACCCAGGGCCTTGTACTTGCTAGACAAGTTCTGTACCACTCAGAAATATCCCTAGCTCCCAGCATTTCCTGTTTTTGTGTAATATAATAACCAGCCATGCAGGATAAACGGAGACTCTCTTGTCTCATGGAATAGTTAGTCACTATGTAGCTTAGAGTTTAGTAGGGGAGCTACATAAATAAATATTTCATTTAGGAGCCATTTATTAAGCCAATTTTTCCCCCCTTAAATTGTGGAGTACCTCGAAATGTGCATCCTTGAGGAATGAATTGGAATTTATTAGAAATAATAACAATGGTCTATCAAATTTCTAGACAAAAGAAATTGCATACACAAAAGCAGTTAAACATGAAAACAGTATGTATGTCTGGAAAACTATTAAAAGGTCAGTATTAATTAGAGCAAGAAGATTGAAGCACCTAACAGGAGGAAATGAAGCTGGAAAGTTACTAGGTGCCAATTTAAGGATTATATATACCTTCTATGGAGCTGAAGCTTTATTGTAGTTGACAGGGGACCATTGAAGTGTGTTGGTTCCTTTTTTTTTTTTTTGTATGAATAATGCACTATTTTATTTATTTTATTTTATTTTTTTAAGAGAGAGTGAGAGAGAATTTTTTAATGTTTATTTTTTAGTTTTTGACAGACACAACATCTTTGTTTGTATGTGGTGCTGAGGATCGAACCCAGGCCACATGCATGCCAGGCGAGCACGCTACGCTTGAGCCACATCCCCAGCCCAATGCACTATTTTAAATTATAATTAAATACCAGAGGCATACACCTGTAATCCCAGTTACTCAGGAGTTTTGAGGCCAGCCTGGACAACAAAGCAAGACTCTCATCTTAAAAAAAAAAAAAAATTATTACTTTCTATTTCTGTGGCTCACAATTCCCATTAAAGATGAAGGTTGGTGACTCTACATCCATAGTAAGTAGTTCATCAAGAATTTTATGGGGCTGGGGATGTGGCTCAAGTGGTAGCGCGCTCGCCTGGCATGCGTGCGGCCCGGGTTCGATCCTCAGCACCACATACAAACAAGGATGTTGTGTCCGCCAAAAACTGAAAAATAAATATTAAAAAATTCTCTCTCTCTCTCTCTTAAAAAAGAAAAAAAAAGTATTTTATGATGGGGTTGAGGCTGTGGCTCAGTGGTAGAGTGCTCGCCTAGCATGTGTGAGGTGCTGGGTTTGATTCTCAGCACCACATATAAATAAACAAATAAATAAAGGTCCATCAGCAACTAAAAAATACTAAATAAAAAAAAGAATTTTATGATGGATGCTGGGGTTGTGGCTCAGTGGTAGAGTGCTTGCCTATTACACGTGAGGCACTGGGTTTGATCCTCAGTACCATATAAAAATTAAAAAATGAAGGTATTATATCCATTTACAACTAAAAAATGAATTTAATGGGGCTGGGATTGTGGCTCAGTAGTAAGAGCACTTGCCTTGTGTGTGTGAGGCCCTGGGTTCCATCCTCAGCACCACATAAAAAACAAAGGTATTGTGTCCATCTATAACTAAAAAAAAAAATTTTTTTTAATGTATTTAAAAAAATAAAGAAGAAAAACTTGATAATGACTGGGTATGGTGACACATGCCTGTAATCCCACCAATTTGGGAGACTGAAGTAGGAGGTCACAAATTCAAGGCTAGTCTTAGCAATTTAGCCAGGCCCTAAACAACTTAGCAAGACCCTGTTTCAAAATAAAAATAAAAGGGCTAGGTATGGCCGAGCACAGTGACACAAGTTCCTGTAATTCCAGCAACTCAGGAGGTTAAGGCAGGAGGATCCTGAGTTCAAAACCAATCTCAGCAAAAGCAAGGCACTTGGCAACTCCATGAGACCCTGTATCTAAATAAAATAGAAAATAGGGCTGGGGATGTGGCTCAGTGGCTGAGTGCCCCTGAGTTCAGTCCCTGGTATTAAAAAAAAAAAAGAAAATTGATGAAGACTATCATTTGTAACTCTTTGGACTCTATTAATATATTTTCTTGGGCTGGGGATGTGGCTCAAGCAGTAGCACACTCGCCTGGCATGTTGAGGCCCGGGTTCGATCCTTAGCACCACATACAAACAAAGATGTTGTATCCGCCGATAACTAAAAAAAAATATATATAATATATATATATATATATATATATATATATTTTTTTTTTTTTCCTTATGTTCCCTTTACTCCTTCATGGGGACTTTCTTAGAGCAAGGAGTTATTGCAGTTCTGCTTTTAACTTTCCCAGTCCCTGACGGCCCATAGTCTAGACAGTTAGGAGGTCCTAGGCTAAATTGAACTGCCTCTTTAAGTTGCTAAGCAGAACGTATGATCCCATAGACTAGCAAATCTATCAGATATTTGTCCTTGCTCACTTAATTCTGTTAACTCAAGGCTTCTGTCAACTTTGAGGCTTCTTGGGTGAAATGGTCGTGGGGTGGTAGAATAGTGAGAGGTTATCAGCAGGGCAGGAAAGAAAGATCAGTTGACAAAAGAGAAGACTAGGGCTGGGCTCATGATCTTCATTTTATTTAATTTATTTATTAATTTTTTTAGTTTTAGGTGGACACAATACCTTTATTTTACATTTATGTGGTGCTGAGGATTGCACCCAGTGCCTCTGGCATGCTAGGCAAGCGCTCTACTGCTGAGTCACAACCCCAGCCCCTTCATTTTATTTTTATTACCCAAGTATAAATAACTTCACATTGTTTTAGATAGAGGTGAGATAGTCTTTTTTTTTAAAAATGGGAATAATCACTGTGTAGCCATAGATTAGAGGCAGGGGGACTATTAAGAACACCATAAGATGGGCATGGTGGTGCATACCTGTAATCCCAGCAGCTCAGGGGGCTGAGACAAGAGGATCAAGAGTTCAAAGCCAGCCTTAATAGCAGCAAGGCGCTAAGCAACTCTGTGAGACCCTGTCTCTAAATAAAATACAAAATAGGGCTGAGGATTTGGCTCAGTGGTAAAGTGCCCCTAAGTTTAATCCAGCCGCCCCCCCCCCCACAAAAACAACATTAAAAAGAGGATCAGTGCTTGAACTAATCAAGGCCCTGCCTATAGGTATGGACAGAATGTGTTTGATAGAGTAGTCTTGGGTGAGTGAGTAAAAGATGGGGAAGGAATAAGAGAAAGTAAGATAACTCAAAGATTTTTGAAAAACCCTCAAAAAAATGATTGGTGGTACTACCAGTCATTATAAATAATATAAAAGAAAGAGCAGGATAGGTGAGGATGAAAAGTGAACCTCTTCTGGGATCTGTTGTGTATTCAGGATTGTGATAGCTAATAGGCATATGGTCATGTGGGAGCTTGAAACTATCAATATAGATTTGGAAGTTAGTGTAGAAAAAAATGTGAAGTGGAACCCAAGAGAAATAAAGAGGAAGGATAAGGGAAAATACCATCAATAGAAGATAGTCAAATTTTAAAAAGGACTGGTCTTAGGTGTCAGATAATATTGACAAATTAAGACCTAAGAAGAGAGTTTGCAAATTAAAAGGCCAGAGGTGAAATTAGTGTAGGATATGGGGTGAGAGAATGTGTAACATAATTAATGGGAAGGAAGTAACAGGCATGTCTGAATCTGTTTTATCATTTATTTTGAGAATAGCAGAGTATTGAACATTTAAATGCTAATAGTAAAGAAGATCAGTAAGAAGAAGTTGAAGATTCAGGAAAGAACTAAAATAATTTTAAAAGAGGGCTGGAGATGTGGCTCAAATGGTAGCGCGCTCCCCTGGCATGCGTGCGGCCTGGGTTCGATCCTCAGCACCACATGCAAACAAAGATGTTGTGTCCGCCAAAAACTAAAAAATAAATATTAAAAAAAAAATTCTCTCTCAAAAAAAATAAATAAAAATAAAATAATTTTAAAAGAGCAGAGTTCTAGGGGACACAGAATTAAGGCTACAAGTAGAGAACGATTAAAGAAAAAGAGGAAAATAAGATTATAGATGCAAGAAAATTTGTAAGAGGATGTTAAGGCAGTCACACCTCCCCGCTGATGACCTTTTTTTTTTTGGTAGCAGGCATTGAACCCAGGGGAACTTAACCATTGAATCACATCTCCCTGACCCCTGTTTATTTTGAGACAGGGTCTCACTAAATTGCTTAGGGCCTTGTTAAATTGCTGAAGCTGTATTTGAACTTGGAATCCTCCTTCCTCAGCCTCCCAAGATGCTGGGATTTACAAATGTACACCACCATGCCTGGCTATAATGACTTTTTTTTCAATGAAGAATTATTTACTGTGAGAGTATAGGAGATGAATTCAGGCACTAAGGAGAATGCCAAAGGTTTGTAATGACAGCCAAGCAAAATAGAAGAGGTTATTGATTGAAATCAAGTAAAAGGACTAAACCAACAGTATTCAAGCCTTACTGAGAGAGGAAAATATACAGTTTGGAGTGCTACCAATGATAATTGTATGCTTTTTATATCTTAAGCTTTTGTTTAGTTCTCTAGAAAAGGCAAATTGTTGATCTAGAATTAAGTACTTAAGGTTTAAATATATAAAAGGGTCACAATGAAGATAGTAGTTTGGCTAATTAATCTATGGTCCAGGCTGGTTAGGTAAGAAAGAATAATGTGACATAGGGCTGAATTTGGAGGAAATGGAGGCATCTAGTACTTGAAGATCTTGTCAAAGGCAGTTTAAAACCTGGGTCTCACTGGGCATTGTGGTGCATACCCCACAATCCCAGCAATTTGGGAGGCTGAAACAGGAGGATCACAAAAGATGGGGATTTAGCTCAGAGGTAAAGCACACCTGGGTTCAGTTCCCAATACATCTCCCTCAAAAACAAACAAAACCAAAACCATGGTCGCAGAAGGATTTCCTTTGCATCTTGTTACGTATCTTTTTCCTATGATTTATGACATAATAAATAGCATGGCATTTCTTTTCTATTTTATGTCGTCAAAGTTCCTTATTTTGTATATCATTCTGTTAGCTTAGTTGGAAGAAAAAGCAATAGTAATTGTGCTCTCAGGATGTTCTATGATATTATTTCATTCAAGAAACATTTAGTATCTCATGTGGGCCAAGCAGTAAATATTTGAGGTGCTGATGAGATTGAAGTTTGGCCTAATTTCCATTACTTATATCTGTTGCCATTTTAACTTTCAGTCTTTCCGTATGCCTTGATTTGTGAATCATCTCAGACTTTCAGAGTAAGGGAGTATGGATATCAAGAAATTTGAGGGGCTGGGATTGTGGCTCAGCAGTAGAGTGCTCACCTAGCATGGGCGGGACCTGGGTTCGATCCTCAGCACCACATAAAAATAAAAGGTATTGTGTTGTGTCCATCTACACCTAAAAAATAAATTAATTAATTAAAAAAGAAATTTGAGAAATCCTCTTTCCCTTTTTTTGGTATTGGGTATTACACTCAGAGATGCTATATCAGAGATGAGCTATATCCCCAGTCCTTTTTAATTTTGAAAAAGGGTCTTGCTAAGTTGCTTAGTGCCTCACTATGTTGCTAATACTGGCTTTGAACTTGGTGATCTCCCTGCCTTAACCTCCTAAATCCCTGGGATTACCGAACCACCATGCCCAGCCTCCCTTTTTGTCTTAATATAACTCTTCCTTCATTTTTTTTTTCTCAGAATTTGCTTATAAATTGAACTTAGAAATATAATGATGTAATGATGTTTGGGGCAACTGGGTAAGGTGTCCATAATCTCTACTAGGAATGAAAAGCATTTATTTAATGTAGACTTCCATGCTTTGTGGGGAGTACCTCCTTAGCATAACCTTTTTTCTGTCTCATCTGTCAGGCACCTGAAATAACACCAGCCCCTTAGAAAAGAGTGAGTTGGGGCTGGGAATGTAATTCAGTGGTGCAGTGCTTGCCTAGCATGCATGACATTCTGGGTTCAATCCTCAGCACTCAAAAAAAAAAAAAAGAAAGAAAGAAAGAAAGAAATGCAGATTTATGAGCCATGACCTGCTTAATTGGCTTCTGTGAGAATGGGGCTTAGAAACTTGTAACAAGTTCTTCAGGTGAATGTTTGATATACTAGTCTGTCTTTGACATAGGAGGTAATGGCAATATGTTAGTAGAAGGTGCCTCATGCATTATAAAAATTGTTTGCTCAGGTCATAGCTCTAATCCGTTTTAAAAATCTGTTATAGCTACAGTATTGTTGTGATTTACTTTTTTTCTACATTTATTTATTGGTTCTTTTTAGTTATACATGACAGCAGAAACCATTCTGATATAATTTACAAGCATGGAATATATCTTCCAGTTAGAATCCCATTCCTTTTTTGGGGGGGCGGGTACAGGGTATTGAATCCAAGAGTGCCTAACCACTGAGCCACATCCTCAGCTCTTTTTTATATTCAGAGACAGAATCTCACTGAGTTGCTTAGGGCCTCCCTGCGTTGCTAAGACCTCTTAATCCTGCCTCAGTCTCCCGATAGGATCCCATTCTTATGAATGTTCATGATGGTAGTATTCACTGTGTTGTTTTCATATATGTACATGGGAAAATTATGTCAGATTCATTCCACTTTCTTTATTTTTCTTATTCTCTCTCCTTTTCCTCCTTCTTCCATTGTTAATCTATTGCACTCCTATTCTATTCTCACACACACACCTGTGATTTACTTTTTATTATGAAAAATGTCAAAATTATAAGAAAATTGAGACTAATAGGTAGTTAATAATTAATACTTGTACCATGAATATTTTACGGTATTTGTTTATTTTTCTGCTTTAGCTCTTTTAAAGTGAATTGTAGGCATTATTACATTTGACACTAAATACTCTGGCAAAATTATTTCCTAGTGTCTTCTAATAGCCCCTGCATATTTTATATATATTTTTTCCAGTTATCTCAAAAATGTGTTTTGGCCAGGTGTGCTGGTGCGTGCCTGTAACCCAACTACTCAGGAGGCTGAGGCAGGAGGATCGCGAGTTCAAAGCCAGCCTCAGCAACAGCAAGGCGCTAAGCAACTCAGTAAAACCCTGTCTTGAAATAAAATGCAAAATAGGACTGGGGATGTGGCTCAGTGGTTAAGTGCCCCTAAGTTCAATCCTTTGTGACCCCCCCCCCCAAAAAAAATGTGTTTTGTAGCTAGTTTATTCAAGCCAGAATCAGTCAAGAATTATGTATTATATTTAAGGCCCCAATCTTAAATTTTTGAAAATCTAGAACAGCCCTAGGTTAAGTATTTAATCTAGCAGGTTCAGGCCCTGTGGTCTACCCAGAAATTAAACAAACAAACAAATAAACTTGGGATGATGGAGAGGGGGAAGAGTAGAAGTCCATTTGATTAGACAAAGGGGAATGAAGGGAAAAGGGGTGGTGTGGGAGAGGAGAATAGGAAGGACAGTAGAATTAATGGGACATAATTTTCCTATCCTTGCATTTTGAATACTCAACCAAGGTAATTCCACATCATGTACAACCTCAAGAATAGGGTCCTAATTAGAATAAATTATACTCCATGTATGTATCATGCCAAAATACATTTTATATCTAAAAAGAAAGCCTTGACTAAGAATTAACTAAGAAATTTAAAAATGCAGTAATAATTAAAAAAAAAAGCCTGAAGCATTGTAAATTGGAATAGTCAAAAGAGGCTTAATTGAGGAGAGTGACTGATAAGAACACAAATGAGAGAACAGAGATTAAAATTAATTTTTGTAAAAAAAAAATGTGTTTTTTTAACTGATTAGCACTTGACTTTTCAAGTACAGTTTGGGGACTACTGCCAATTGCTTACAAAAATAATTGTTTTTTGTTTTACAGTGGGCAAATCAAACTAGCAGATTTTGGACTTGCTCGGCTTTATAACTCTGAAGAGAGGTGAGACATTCATCAAAATTATATGTGGGACTGGGCATGGTGGCACACACCTGTAATCTCAACAACTTAGGGAGGTCCTAAGCAACTTAGTGAGAGACCCTGTTCAAAATTAAAAGGGACTGGAGATGTGGCTCACCCATGGGTTCAATCTCCACTATGTAAAAAAACTTACATGTGAGAAGGATCTCTAGAGGCCCAGGGAGTTTAAGGCCAGCCTGAGCAACATAGACTATGCCTCAAAAAATAAAAATAGCAAAATTTAAATTGTAGGTGGACACAATACCTTTATTTATTTATTTGTTTGTTTGTTTATGTGTAGGTGAGGATTGAACCCAGTCCGTCACACGTGTTAGGCAAGCATTTTACCACTGAGCTACAACCCCAGTCCCCTATCCAGATTACTTTTAGATTGTTAGATTGTTGTGAGCTGTTTCAACAATTTCATCTTCAATTGGAAGCTATTTTTGTTTGCCTTTAGCTGTGTATTTATCATCAAAATCATTGTAAATTTATATAATGATGGTTTTACATTGCAGTCGTCCTTACACAAACAAAGTTATTACTCTATGGTACCGACCTCCTGAGCTGCTGCTGGGGGAAGAGCGCTATACACCAGCCATAGATGTCTGGAGCTGCGGGTAAGGTTCTGTTAATACTTTCTTTTGTCTGTAACTCACATATTATTGATCTGTACTCTGTTTTCTCTCTACATTGGCTTTTAACAGTTCTTCTAAAATTCTAAAGTTTCTCTGTGGAGTATTAATATCAGTGATACACCTTTTCTTTAAACATTTCCTCAATTGTCTTTTTTTTTTTTTAACTTCATTTGAATTAGGATTTAAGTGATTAAGATCCACAGATTATAGTTGATTACCCCAGGTCTTTTAATTAGACGTCCTCCTTCCATCTCTCTGTTTTGTTTCCTTACACTTTCCTTAGAGGAAACTAGGTAATTTGTTCTGTAGACTTCTCACAGCCTGAATTTTGCTGATTGTATCCTTATAGCTGGTTTTTATTTTTTTGCTTTTTTTTTTTTTCCTTCCCTCTCTTTCATTCCCTCATCCCCTATACACTCAGTACCAGGGATTGAACTCAGGGTTGCTTAACCCTGAGCCACATCTCTAGCCCTTTTTTATATTTTATTTAGAGACAGGGTCTCACTGGGTTGCTTAGGGCCTCTCTTAAGTTGTCCAGGCTGGCTTTGAACTTGAGATTCTCCTGCTGCAACCTCCCAAGCCTCCAGGATTATAGACGTGTGTCACTGCTCCTGGCTCTCTCATGTTCTTTATCCCTTTTATTTTCTGTAAATTGTAGGGGAATTCAGGGTTGATTTCTCAACCACCCACTGACCCTTAAACTACTTTACACAGGTGGGTTTGAGGTTTTTATTTTCTTTTGGGGGAGATGGGTACTGGGATTGACTTAGGAGCACTCAACCACTGAGACACATCCCTAGCCGTATTTTGTATTTTTTTTTAGGCTGGCTTTGGATTTTGAGTGCTTGTAACAGAAGATCAGTGGTAGATCAGAATTGAGGGTAGCAAGTGATAGGAACCACTGATAAGAGAACAAACTGTGAATGAGTGTGTTATATATTGAGAATTTAAAAATAATGAAACAATCCACTATAAATTAGTAGCTTTTGATTATGGCCGTTTGGGGACGGTTATAAACAATGCCTCATAAAATATTAATCCCTATTCGGGCAGATTTACACACATACCCCACTTGATAAATAACAGTTGTCTCTATTAATTTATTTTGGCCTTTGTCTATATTTTTACAGTTGTCTCTTTTTATGATATTATTAACTATTGATGATCATTGCCTATATCCCTTAATTCATTTGTGGTAATTTTATAATGGTAATATTCTCATCATACCATTCTTTATTAGAATATTTATATAAAGATAATACCCCAGGTACAAACTGTGTAGAAAAGTTAGGATAATGCTTAATTCTGTTTATTTACCAGTTCAAAATAATGACGTAGTTTTCTACTATTCCCAGAGATAACCAGTGAGAAAGATTTTGGTTTTATTTTTTACTTTAATTTTACAAACTCCTGGATTTAAGCATATTTGATGTGTTTTAATTCATTGTAGTTATTATCCTTATTCCTGTTTAAACTATCTATTTTTTTTTTACCAGTGGGAGCTTTGTCAGGTTATTTCTTGAGTTTTGTTGATAATCATCGTGGGTTTTTTTGTTTATTTGTTTTTTTGGGTACTAGGGATGGAACCAAGGGGCTCTTTACCACTGTACTAAATTCTCAGCCCTTTTTATTTTTTTAATATTTTTTTAGTTGTAGTTGGACACAATACCTTTATTTTACTTATTTATTTTTATGTGATGCTGAGGATCAAACCCAGAGCCTCACGTGCTAAGCAAGTATTCTACCACTGAGCTACAATCCCAGCCCTTTATTTTAGAGATGGGGTCTCATCAAGTTAACTGCTTAGGGCCTCACTAAATTACTGAGGCTGGCCTCAAACTTGCAATCCTCCTGCCTCAGCCTCCCAAGTGGCTGGGATTATAGGCATATACTATTGCATCTGGCTTCAATAGTAGTCATTGATATTCTTCCTTATTTTTTGGTTTCAGGCTTATCCTATCCTGTTCATTTTTTGTCCTACTACATGATATTAGCTATTACTCTAAAAAGCCTTCATTCCTTTGTGGAAAATTACAATAGAAACCACAATTTTTGTGTTAGAGGAACAGACATCTTTAAATGGGTTAGTTGTTAGTTGTTTCTTACATTGTACGACACACTGTCCTTGACCTCCATGCTTTATTGTTTTGACATATGTACTTCATGATATAGTATATCCCATTCTTTCCTTTCCTCACATTTTTTTTTTTTGGTACTGGGGTTAAATTCAGGGGCACTCAACTGCTGAACCACATCCCCAGCCCTATTTTGTATTTTTAGAGACAGGATCTCACTGAGTTGCTTAGTGCCTTGCCATTGCAAAGGTTGGTTTTGAACTCTTGATCCTCCTGGCACTGTAGGGGTTTTATTTCAAAAAATTCAAAAGGATAATAGAAAAAGATAATTTCTGTGGCAGCTTACCTAATCAAAAGAAACTTTAGTTAAGTTTTACTGACTCAAGCTGGATATGTTTGTGTTCTGGGCTATTTGCTTTAGCAGTATTAGCAACTAAGCTCTAAAATTAACACCCCAGTAAGATGTATTGGGAAAGTTCATAGTTCTTTTAGTATTATTATTTCAGTCTGTGCAACCTGTCACTTCTGCAGTAGCAAAGAGTTGATTACATAATGAATGTTTTAGCCACCCAAAGTTTGGAAACTAAAATAAAACACAATTAGAAATTGAAACTATAGGGCTGGGGATGTGGCTCAAGCGGTAGCACGCTCGCCTGGCATGCGTGGGGCCCGGGTTCGATCCTCAGCACCACATACAAAGATGTTGTGTCTGCCGAGAACTAAAATAAATAAATAAATAAATATCTAAAAAAAAAAAAAAAGAAATTGAAACTATAGAAAACTAGTCTTAAAGTTCAGCTTACAAGATTATGCTTACCTTTTTTTTAAAAAAATATTTTTATAGTAGATGAACACAATACCTTTATTTTATTTGTATGTGGTGCTGAGGATTGAACCCAATGCCTCACACGTGTTAAGCAAGCTTACTCTACCAGCTGAGCTATAATCCCAGCCGTATGCTTACCTTTCGAAGTGAACTTATTACTTTGATGTTCCATGTTAGTTTCTCTTAAGATATTTATACAGAATGTGTTTTTTTTGTTTTGTTTTGTTTTGTTTTACAGAGAATTAATATAGTAGTTCAGTGTACAAATCAGAGGAGAAACTAGAAAGACTAGTACAACAAATTATATGTGAAATGAGAAAACCTTGCTATTGTGTTTTTCATTTCTCTCCTCTTATTTCCAGTTGTTAGAACAGTGGAACTTTCTTCTTTTTCTTTTTCATTTTCTTTTTCTTTTTTTTTTTTTTTTTTGTATTGGGAATTTAATCCAGGGGTGCTTCACCACTTACTGGTCTTACTGAGTTGTTTAGGTACTCATTAAGTTCCTGAGGCTGTCCTTGAACATGCAATACTCCTGTTTTAGCCTCCCTATAACACTGGAACTTGATTTGGCAGTTAATGTTTAAGGTCTGTTGAAAATAGAATAAATTTTACTTTTTTCCATCTCTAACATTTGAATACCAGAAGCAAAAAGTTGCCTTTTGTCAATTGAGATTAATAAATGTTAATAGGTGCTGATTTCTTAAAAAACTACGTTTTTCTTTCTCAAGTTAAAGAATTTCAAAATAAATATATAAAATTTGGGTCTGTGAATATTTGTAAATAAATCTTATTTCAAAGCATAAGTCAAACCAGACATGATGATGGCACACAGCTGTAATCCCAGCTACTTGGGAGACTGAGGCAGAAGAATTCACAATTTTGAGGCCAGCCTAGGCAAGTTAATGAGACCCTATCTCAAAATAAAAAATGAAAAGGGCTAAGATGTAGCTCGGTGGTAGAACAATCCCTAGTACCCCCCCAAATACATACACAAACACAAGTCAGAAGAGATTTATTGCCCCCTATCTTTTTTAACATTCTGGGTTAAAAAATGAAATATTTCATGCATGCAAAAAGTATATATTTTTTCTCTAATTTTACTTTGAAATAATTAAAACTAATTAAGAATTATAAGACCTATGGGGCTGCTCAGTAATAGAGCACTGCCTAGCATGTGTGAGGCACTGGGTTCAATTCTCAGCACCACATATAAATAAATAAAATAAAGGTCCATTGACAACTTAAAAAAGTTTTAAGACCTACAAAGAACTTCTGCACAGCCTTTATCTAGATGTATTCCCCCACCTCACCCCCAGTACCTAAGTATTGAATCCAGAGTGGATTGCACTCTCTTACTAAGCTACATTCCCAGGCCCTCCCTCCTTTATTTAATTGCATTGCCGGGCACAGTGGCACATACTTGTAAGCAGGAGAATCCCAATTTCAAAGCCCGCTTCGGCAAATCAGCAAGTCCCTAAGCAATTTTTTGAGACCCTGTCTCAAAATAAAAAAAGGGCTGGGCGTGAAGCTCAGTTGTAAAAAGTGCCCTCAGGTTCTGTCCCTGGTACCAAAAAAAAAAAAAAAAAGGTAAAAAAAAGTGCTTCACAAATTTGCATGTTATCCTTGGATAGGACCATGCTAATCTCTATATTTTTCTAATTTTAATATATGTGCTATCAAAATAAGCACACCTCACCTTTTTTATAAATCTTGATTTTGAGACAGGGTCTTGCTGTCTTTCTCAGGCTGGCCTTGAATTTGTAATCTTCCTGCCTTAGCCTCCTGTGTAGTTGAGGTTACAGGTATATGTCCCCACACCTGGCAGCACTGGGACTTGAACACAGGACCTCACACATGCTAGGCAAGCACCCTATTATTGAGCTGCATTCCCAGCTCACTAAAGTTTTTAGACCTTTTTATTAAAATATAAAATAAACTGCATCTGTTTAAAGTACACAACTGAAAAGTTTTGACCTAATTTAGTTACTGTGAAACCATTACCACAGTCAAGAAATGATCACCTAAAAAGATTCCTTGTATCATTTTGTAATCCTTCTCTTGTACCTACATTATCCCATTCCAGGCAAACCACTATTTTGTTTTTCTAAAAGTTTTATGTAAGTGGAATCATATAATATATTTACCTCGCCCAGGACATTTTTTATTCAACATAAATTGAGGTTCATTCTTATTAGTGTCACTAGTTTTGTTGTTATGTTTGTTTGGGTTCTAGGATCTAACCCAGGGTTGCTGTATTACTGGTCTTTATCCCCAGTCCTTTTAAATTTTTTTTGTTTTGAGACATGGTCTCACTAAGTTGCTGAGGCTGGCCTCAAACTTGTGATCCTCCTGCCTTCCAAGTCATTGAAATTACAGGCCTGAGCTTCCTTGATGGCTATTTGTTTTTGAGACAGAGACTTACCTTGTTGTCCAGGTTCAAGGTTCAAGGGATCAAGTGATTCTTCTGCCTCATCTTTCTAAGTGGCTGGGATTATAAATATGTATGACCAAGCCTGACTAGAATGACTAATTTTTAATATCTTGCCACATTGGCACACACATATATATAACACATATATACATAAAATAAAAAATGTTTATACTGGGATTGTGGTTCAGCGGTAGAGCACTTGCCTAGCATGGGCAGGACCTGGGTTCGATCCTCAGCACCACATAAAAATAAAAGGCATTGTGTTGTGTCCATCTACACCTAAAAAATAAATATTAAAAAAAAGTTTATGTTTTTATCATATTTTTTCCAGACTTGTTTGAAGGAAGTTTGAAGGAAGTTGCATATATCATGCCTTTTCCCTCTTTAATATTTAATATATAGCCCTTAAAAACAAATGAACCTCTTATATAACCATAGTATAGTGATAAAATATTTTTATTTAATACTGTACATTTCATATTTCAGTTTTTATTAGTACCATAAGTAATGTCCTAGTAACAATACCCCCAATTCAGGTCCTGTCCAGGATCATGAGGGCTGGTGATTAGCTTGGTGTGATATAAGAGTGCTCACCTGTCAAGATTGAGGCTCTGGGTTCAATCCCTAGCACCTGAGGGAAAGTGAATATGCCAATCCAAGATCATTATTATTCTTAGTTGTCTTATTATTTATTTATTTATTTATTTAAATGGAATTTTGCTGTGTTGTTCAGACTGGTCTCAAATTCATGGGCCTAAGTGATCCTTCTCGCATTTGCATTATAGGTGAATATAAATTTTCTACCATGTAGATTCAGGTTACACATCTTTTTTTTTCCCTCCAGTGCTGGGAATTGAACCCAGGGCCTCAAACCCCAGGCAAGCCCCTATCGCTTAGTTACTTCCTCAGTCCAGGGTATGTTTTTTGTGGGGGTGGGGGATTACTGGAGGTTGAACTCATAGACACTCGATCATGAGCCACATCCCTAGCCCTATTTTTATTAGAGACAGGGTCTCACCGAGTTGCCTAGTGCCTTCCTAAATTGCTGATGCTGGCATTGAACTCAGGATCCCCCTGCCTCAGACTCCTGAGCTGCTCGGATTACAGGTGTATGCCTCCATGCCTAGCAGGTTATGTATTTTTTTAAAAATATTTTTTTAGATGATGATGGATCTTTATTTTATTCATTTATTTATATGTGGTGTTAAGAATCGAACCCAGTGCCTCACACATGCTAGGCAAGCGCTGTACCACTGAGCCACAACCCCAGCCCCCGATTATGCATTTTTGAATGGAATATTTCATAAGCAATTTTCCCTGGGGCGCTTTGAGCCCCCTTTTTAAAAAATTTTTTATTTTTATTCTATCTTGAGTCTCGCTAAGTTGCTTAGGGTCTAGCTAAATTGCTGAGATTGCCTCAGCCTCCCAAGTCCCTGGGATTATAGGTGTGTACTACTTTGCCTGGCCTTAAGCACTGTTGTATTTCTCTCAGAGTATCATGTGTGTACTTACATGGATTTTGTTTGCCCTTTAGTATTGATATTAATTTTTGTCATTTGGTTAAGTTGTTGTTTTTTCCCCCCACTAAACTTACTGGTTTTATTCTTTTTAAAAAAAAATTTAATTTTTTGGGCAAGGGTTGTAGCTCAGCGGTAGAGCGCTCTTCTAGCATGTGTGAGGCCCTAGTTCAATCCTCAGCACCACATATAAATAAATAAATAAATAAAATAAAGGCGTTGTGTCCAACTACAACTAAAAAAGATTTTTTAAAAATTTTTTTAGTTATAGGTGAACATAATATATTTTATTTTTATGTGGTGCTGAGGATCAAACCCAGTGCCTCATGCACACTAGGTGAGCACTTTACCACTGAGCCACAACACCAGCCCCCAAAAAAAATATTTAAAAAATATATTTATTTTTTAGTTATAGGTGGACACAATATCTTTATTTTTTTATTTTTATTTTTATATGGTGCTGAGGATCCAACCCAGTGCCTCATGCGTGCTAGGTGAGCACTCTACCTCTGCGCCACAACCCCAGACTATTGGTTTTATTCTTATAGTTAATAAAGGAATTTTTAGGGAGATGCTTTGAGACTGTGTAAATATATTCATATGGTTTTGAATGTCCTGTTCAAAATGACAAAGTATTTGTATAAGCATAATTTATTTGAAAATCATATTAGAACTGATTCTGGCTGATAATTTTTTTTTTTGCAAATTCAGTGCCAAGAGGGCTGTAGTATAGTATATATTCTACAGAGCAGATTAATGACACAAACTAACTTCCCTTTTAGAAACTGCTGAGCATCCTTGTAAGATTATCTTTAGTTATTTTCATAATTTACAGCGCCATAGTAGGAATAAAAGACTCTTCTGTGCTTAGAGCTGTCCTTTACAAGTGGAAGTTTGATGTGCTGGCAAATTATGGCAAGAATTTATTTATTTATTTATTTTAGGAAACAAACACTGAAGTTCTAGGCTAATTTACAACACAGTATATTGGATGTAGCCTGATACTATAAAAGTTTATTGAGACAACTTTAAATAGGCTCCAGGGATTTCTCTCCTGACCTCTCAGTTTTACTCTTTCTAGGTGCATCCTTGGGGAGCTGTTCACAAAGAAGCCTATATTTCAAGCCAATCTGGAACTGGCTCAGCTAGAACTGATCAGGTACAGCTGTGCATGTGCTATTATGTACCAGGTGTGATAGGTAATCTAATCCTCTAATTTCTAACACTTTCCAGTCATTCTACTAAATGATTGTACAAGTTTTCTCTTTGCTCAGTTAGATTTACTTTATATTTTGTTCTAGGTTGAGTATGAAAAGAAGCTATATTTTGCGCCGGGGTTGTAGTTCAGTGGTAGAGTGCTTGCCTAGCATGTGTAATGCACTGGGTTTGATTCCTGGCACCACATAAAAATAAATAAAATAAAGGTATTGTGTCCATCTACAACTAAAAAATATATATATATATTTAAAAAAATAAACTATATTTCATTGTAGAAAATATATATTGAAACTATATTTTGTTTTATGGTGCTGGGCATTGCACCTAGGGCTTTGTGCATGCTTAGTGCATGCTTCGCATGCACTCTACTACTGAGCTACATCCCTAGAACCCTCCATTTAATTTTTTAAAGTCTTAACTTGCATAATTTTTCTTTTCTTTCTTTTTTTGATTGGGAGGGTACTGGATATTGAACCTAAAGGTGCGTTACCACTGTGCTACATCTCCAACCCTTTTTAATTATTTTTTATTTTGAGTCAAGTTCTCACTAAAGAACCTCACCGAGTTACTGAGGCTGGTCCCAAACTTGTGATCCTCCTACCTCAACCTCCAAAGTTGAAAGGATTACAGGTGTGCACCACTAGTTCCAGCTTATTTTGTATATTTTGCTTTAACACGGGCACCTATAGCCCCAATCTTTCAGGAGGTTGAGATGGGAGGATCTCTTGATCCTAGGAGTTCAGGGCCATTCCAGGCAACATAGTGAGACTTCATCTCAAACCAAAAAAGAAAAAAGAAAAGCATGCTGTTTTCAGGATGTTTGTTTGTTTGATTCTTAGGTTAAATTAAAATTAAGTTTGGGCTAGGGACGTGGCTCAAGCAGTAGTGCACTCGCCTGGCATGCGTGCGGCCCGGGTTCGATCCTCAGCACCATATACAAACAAAGATGTTGTGTCCGCCGAAAACTAAAAAATAATATTAAAAAAATTCTCTCTCTCTTTAAAAAAGAAAATTAAAAATTAAATTAAATTTATGGGGCTGGGGGGTGATTCAGTGATAGAGCATGTGCTAACCATGTGCAAGGCCGTGGGTTCAATACCTAGTATGAAAAAAAGAAAAGCATGTTACTCTTTTTTTTTTTTTAATTAGTTAATTTATTTTTTTGGTGTAGATGGACACAACACAATGCCTTTATTTTTTATATGGTGCTAAGGATTGAACCCGGCTCCCTCCCGTGCTAGGTGGGCTCTCTACCACTGAACCACAATCCCAGCCCAGAAAAGCCTGTTATTCAGTTGATTGCTTTTCTGTTAAACTTTAAGACTCAGATAAATCAGGTCCCTGCCTTCAAAAACCTCCGTTTAGTAATGTTTATGGCATATAAACAGATAGTTTGAAAATTGAACCTATAATACAAAATTTAGGGAAGTCCTGGAGTTAGAATGAAATTTGGGCCTCTCCTCCCCCAATAAAATTGAAAGGAGGAATTTAGCAGGCAAAGTTTAAATTACACTAGACATTTTAAAGGTAATATATAACTCATTATTACATAATAAACTCCCAATTACCTATCAAAATTTCCACTTGTATGCTCTGTTCTCTTCTTTTCTCTGTAGGGACAATATAAGACTAACTCTTTTGTAGTATATGAACTTAATATTAACCGAATAGAACAAAATTGGTAATGAAAATTGTGTCGGGGATTAAAAACATGTTTTATGCTGGGTACAGTGTCACACCTGTGATTTCAGTGACTTGGGAGGCTGAGGCAGAAGGATTTCATGTTTAAGGCCAGCCTCAGCAATTTAGCAAGTCCTTGTCTTAAAATATAAAATGAAAAAAGGAATAGCTGGGAATGTGTCTCAGAGGTAGTTGTGCTTGCCTGGCATGCCTAGGCCCTTAGGCCCTGGGTTCAATTCCTAGTACCATCACTGAAAAAAAAAGAGAGAGAGAGAGAGAGAATTGGAATTGGAGATGTGGTTCAGTGGTAAAGCACCCTTGTGTTCAATTCCCAGTACTGGAAATTTTTTTTTTTTTTAAACCAAATGTGTGGATTATTTTGGATTATTATGCCATTATTTTCTCTTACTGTGTTATAATCAGTTCTTTCTATCCTTAAAGCAGCAAGGTCATATTTTACCTTTCTGCATACCCTATATGATAAGCAAAATTTCCAAACTTCAGAAGGTAATAATTTCTGCTTGTAGAACTCAAGAATACCTGATGTTGACTTATTTCTTTGCACTTTCTTTTTTGTTTCATTTTCAGCCGTCTCTGTGGTAGCCCTTGTCCAGCTGTATGGCCTGATGTTATCAAACTACCCTACTTCAACACTATGAAACCGAAGAAGCAATATAGAAGGCGTTTGCGAGAAGAATTTTCTTTGTGAGTTTGGCAAAAATGTGCATCTCAGTTTAGGTTTGGCTTGTGTTAAGACTGCCTTTTCCTGGCTACGGGAGTTATCATTGTCTCAGTTTACTCTGACAAAACATTTTATTTTTAAACAGTATGCTAGTTTTATCATAGCCCTCATACTTTTCTAATTTGACTATAGAAGACCATTTTGTTTTGAATAATTATATAAATTTCTTCATAGTTCTTTTGATCTTTAAGGAAATGAGAGAAAGACATTATTGTCATGTGTTTTTTACCTGGATTGTAGCATTTCTTAAATCCTGTGTGAGAGCAAATCCATTTGCTTGCATTAGCCAACTTCTAGCTCCCTTTCCTCAGTTTAACATGAAGCTGGAAATTCAGAGACCTTTTAACTAAAAATTTGAGAACAATGGGATCATTGCAAACTTAACCTTTTCTTTTTTTCTTTCCATAGCATTCCTTCAGCAGCACTTGATTTATTGGACCACATGCTGACACTAGATCCTAGCAAGCGTTGCACAGCCGAACAGACCCTACAGAGTGACTTCCTTAAAGATGTTGAGCTCAGCAAAATGGCTCCTCCGGAGTAAGTACTGGTGGCTATGCAGTGACCCTACGCCTCCCCTAACCCTCAGGAGATGAGAAACTCAAGATAATAGGTTTTTTTTAAAAAGAACTGCAAATGGCTAAGTTTCACATGTAGAGATTTCCTTGAGTTAATAAGGAAGTTAATATGGTTAATAAGGAAGATAGTTTTGTTATTTTAAACAGTGAATAGAGCTGGGCATGGTATCACACGCCAGTAATCCCAGCTTCTTGGGAGGCTAAAGCAGAAGGATCATAAATTCAAGGAACTTAGCAAGACCCTGTCTCAAAATAAAAAGGATTGGAGATGTCACTCAGTGGTAAAGTGCACAGGGTTCAATTCCTAGTACTAAAAGCCAAAACAAACAAAAAAGGTTTAGTTATAATATTTGCTCTAGATTTGACTCTCAAGAATCTTTTTGTCTCTAGATTCTTAGCATATTGCCCTATACAACCTCTTTGAAAGTATTTCTAGTGCTTGCTTTGGCAGCACATATACTAAAATTGGAATGAAACAGATTAGCATGGCCCCTGCACAAAGATGACATGCAAATTCATGAAGCATTCTGTATTTTTTTAAAAGTATTTATTTTTAGTTTTGTTCTTGACCATTTTATCTTCTGGAATCACCTGTATCTGTGGGGACCATGTATTTCTCATATTTGTAAGAATAGTCCTAATTTCAAATAGTTTGCATCACTGTTAGGTCACTGAATAGTGACTTAAAAAAAATAATGTCTTTGGATCTCTCTTTCATCATAATCCTATGAACTTCCTATATTTTGTAGGATTTCCAGGGATTTTGCATTCATCCCCCACATTCTGGCACATAAAAAAATCTTATTATTAGGCTTGGGGATATAGCTCAGGGGTAGAGTACTTCTGTTGTATGTGTGAGGCCCTGGTATTACAGACAGAAGAAATCTTTTATCTCTGATTTATCACTAACAGTATTATAGCTTTTGTATCAGATTTTTTTTTTTTTACCCCCCACCCACTGGCAACTGAACTCAGGGGCACTTGACCACTGAGCCACATCCCCAGACCTTTTTTTCTATTTTATTTAGAGACAGGGTCTACACTGAATTGTTTAGTGCCTCGCTTTTTGCTGAGGCTGGTGTTGAACTCACAATCCTCCTGTCTTAGCCTCCCAAGCAGCTGGGATTACAGGTGTGCATACCATGCCTGGCAAAGAATGTCTCACTGAAGTGGGTAAGATTTCAGTACATGAGTAGGTAGTATATAAATCCGATTGTTCTAAAGAAATGTCCAGATTCATCTGTGGGACTAGAATTTCAGTACACTGAATGTGACTTGAAATTCCTAAGCTGCTTACTGAAATTTGGGAACTCCTATTATAGGGATTTTGTAGTAAGATGATTTAATATACTTGTAATGTTTGCATTTTTGAGTATGGGAAGTCTGGAAATAACATCAATTAATACATAGTATTAAACGCTACATATGAAAAATATGTAGTTATGGAAATTTAGTGAACAGGAAGAGGAAGGAACCAGTCGTTGGTTCTCACAGACCAAATAACAAATTCATTTTACACAGAATAATTTAATCGTCATGTATTTATATGGTTCCAAGTTTTAAATCACCACCTTTCTTAGACTTGTAAGTATTAGCAAGCCAGTAATCTCTGTCCTTTTATTCCCAGCTGAAACTTGACCTGTTATATCAAGGAAGAGCAATATTTGACTAGAACATGAAAATTTATATATCAGGTGTATCCCTAGTATTAGCAAGATCCTTATTTCCCACTATATAAAATCTTTTGGGCTTTTGGACTTTTATTTCCCCAGATTGTCATCTGCCATGGTTCTTTATATGTTGCTACTATCACTAATTTTCATGTTTCCTTGTTCTTCCCACTTCCCATGCTTTCCCAGTTCAATCTTTATTCCTCTATTCGCTCACTACTGCATTCCCCTTTGCTTTGTCTTTTTCCAGCCTCCCTCACTGGCAGGATTGCCATGAATTGTGGAGTAAGAAACGGCGACGGCAACGACAAAGTGGTGTTGTGGTAGAAGAGCCACCTCCATCCAAAGCCTCTCGGAAAGAAACTACCTCAGGGACAAGTGCTGAGCCTGTGAAGAACAGTAGCCCAGCACCACCTCAGCCTGCTCCTAGCAAGGTGGAGCCTGGGGCTGGGGATGCAATAGGTCAGTGCTGGAATGGGATCTTTGTGCTTTTATTAAGCACATTTGGCAGATTTTGAAGGTCATATGCGAGGAGTATGGAGCATGTGTGTCTGTGTCTTTTAGTTTTTGTCCAGTGAGGCAATAGGACAGAGGTTGATGTTCTCATTTTTGGAAAGAATATAAGCCATATTTTGTACATGTGGTTCAGAAAGTCTATAATACACCATTTTCCTTTCTTGAAATAAGGAATACTATATCTTAGATGTGTGATAAAAATCAGTGAATTAAGTAAGCAAAATTTAAGTTTCATCCATGACTTTATAACACATGTTGATTTAGAGCCCTATCTATATTAGATTTGATAAGGTCTTAGAATCTAATTATATTAAATCACAGTTGCTAAATGTATTTAGTTCTGTAGACAGTTATTCATTCTAAATATATCTAAAGCTGTTAAAATGAACTATCATAACAAAATAGTTTTCCTGTAGTACCATCAATTTTTCTGAACCGTATGTGATTGACTTTCCCTCCCTTGTCCACCCCAAATTGGCTACACATTAGAATCATCTAGGAAGCTTTAAAAATATATACTCTCAAATAGTTGACAAAATAAAAATTTGTCCTAGTAATTCTTATATATAGTAAAGGTTGAAAATCACTGATCTTGAAAAGAATATAGGTAAGTGGCCTGGGAATGTAGTAGCTCTTTGTTAGAACACTTGCCTAGCAAGCATGAGGCCCTGAGATCAATTCTCTAGTATCAGCCAAAAAAGGGGAAATAACAGATGAAAAAAGAATACATGGGAGATATTGTGTGTGTGTGTGTGTGTGTGTGTTTGGTTTGTTTTTTTTTGTTTTTGGTATTGGGGATTGAACCCAAAGCCTCACATGTATTAGGCAAGTGCTCTACAATTGAGCCACATCCCTAGCCCTTAAAATGAAATCAGGGGTCTGGGATTGTGGCTCAGCGGTAGAGCGGTCGCCTAGTTCAGGCGGGACCCGGGTTCGATCCTCAGCACCACATAAAAATAAAGGCGTTGTGTTGTGTCCATCTACACCTAAAAAATAAATATTTTAAAAAAATGAAATAACTTTTACGCATAATACAGATATGTTTTAGTTAATCCTTGTTTATTTAAGCCAAAGTATAAGAATGACAAATTATATCATGACAGTTCAAGGCATGAAAAATGAGACTTCAAAATGAAACTTTATTTCTTGAATATTATAGTTCACTTTGCCAATTGAAGAAGGCAGAGGGCCCTTGTCTGCCTTAAATTGATCCTTGTCTTCTCTTACACTGGCTCTACTCTCTCCCCACAGGCCTTGGTGACATCACACAGCAGCTGAATCAAAGTGAATTGGCAGTGTTATTGAACCTGCTACAGAGCCAAACTGACCTGAGCATCCCTCAGATGGCACAGCTGCTTAACATCCACTCCAACCCAGAGATGCAACAGCAGCTGGAAGCCCTGAACCAGTCTATCAGTGCCCTGACAGAAGCCACTTCCCAGCAGCAAGACTCAGAGTCCATAGCCCCAGAGGAGTCTTTGAAAGAGGCACCCCCTACTTCTATAGTCCTGCCTTCAACAGAACAGACAACCCCTGAAGCTTCAAGCACACCAGCTGACATGCAGAATATGTTGGCAGTTCTCTTGAGTCAGCTGATGAAAACCCAGGAGCCAGCAGGCAACCTGGAGGAAAACAACAGTGACAAGAATAGTGGGCCACAGGGGCCCCGAAGAACTCCCTCAATGCCACAGGAGGAGGCAGCAGGTAAACAGACCGGTCATGAATCTCATTGAGTTCAGGTGCTGTTGATCCTCTTAAAAATCTCTTTAACATTTTCTTTTTCACATCAAAGGCATCAGTTTCAGTTTTTCTGTAACCTAGTCTACAGGAGAACATAGCACCAAATGATGTATTTCTTATCCAGCTTCTTTTATTTAAGTTTCAAAGTTTCTCAAAGCACCTTGCAGATATTGTTTTTCTACTTCCTAGGATGTAGGTAAGTAAAGTCCCCCGTGTTCTTCCCAAGAAAACCACAACCATAGCTAGTGATGGATCTTGAACCACTGTGTGTATGATGGCCAGCTTTTCCTGGAAAATCTAACTTCCAAACAAACCATTATCAGTTTGTACTTCTTTACTTCTAGTGGAGTGGATGCTGGATACAAGTCTTACCTGGAAGATACAGACAAGAAAACCCTAATAAAATATCATTTTAATTTCCTGAAGAATAAGTTGGGAATAATTCTAAATAGATTGTTATTTAATGCCATACATTTCCTTTACCCAAAAAATAGCATATAAAAATGTTCCTTTAAATCTGTGTTCCTGAAAGAGACGATGGAATGGACCCCAGATCAGGAAGTGAGCATTATAGGGGAGGGGGGGGGTGAAAAAGGGAATGTTATACTTTGATGACCACAATATGCAATTTTTTAGAGGGAAAAGAAGTTTAAATTCTCTAATCAATTCTGATTTACAGTCTATTTGCAAAATCTTACTTCTGAAAGTGTTTTCAACTTTTTGGAAATTTTCACTGTCCATGAAGACCCCATGATTTGGGGAATAAGAAGAGGCACCAGGGCTGAAGAGATATACTAACCTTCAACTTTAGGGTCCTGCATTCACATTTCATATGGGATTGTGCAGAAAGTATATGCTTTATTTTCACTGGAATGAGATCAAAAATATAAACTATTTTTCATATGTAAAGATTTTTAAAACTGGAAGATAATAAAATTAATCCCTTACTTTACGGATAGGAAAACTGCATTCCAGGGAGTTTAAATAAATCCGCCTATGGTTCCTCTGCTGATTATTGGGAGAGGCAAAAACTAGAACTCATGTACTCATACTTCTTTATTCATTTTTCCACTGTGTCATGATTCCAAATATTTGTTTTGTTTTTGTTTTATTTTTTATTCCAATTGTAAGAGACTCCAAGACATGGAGTAACTGGACAAAGCTATCTAGAACTAAGCAGGTTTCTTAGGGCCAAGCATGGTGGTACATGCCTGTAATACAGCGGCTCAGGAGGCTGAGGCAGGAGGATCACAAGTTCAAAGCCAGCCTCAGCAATTTAGTGAGGCCCTAAGCAATTCAGTGAGACTCTAAATAAAAGATAAAAAGGGCTGGGGATAAGACTCAGTGGTTAAGTGCCCCTGGGTCCAATCTCTGTACCAAAAAAAAAAAAAAATCAGGCTTCTTTGCTCATCTCTCAGGTTCTGAATTCCCCACCACACCTCCCCTAAAATTCAGCTCAAATCAAAAGACCTGAAAAAGTAGGTCAAATTAATGTAATGATTGAAAGAAATTTACCCAGAATTGAGCCAACAAAGTATCAACCACATGATGAAATTGAACTAAAATTAAGACCTGGCCTATGGTCAGAAATTGTTGGATTTACATCTCATAGAGTAGAAAAAATGCCACAAATAATTATTGTAGTCACCCCTTGATTATTCAGTTTGTCTCTACCATGTCTTCCCTGTTCTTATTTCTCCAGATGCCTCTTATTTGGCCATTTCACTGTTCATTAGCACTTCCACCAGAGGGTAGACTGCATAAACCAGAGAAGTTGACACCTATCAGTTTGGTTACTGTTTATTATCTATTTGTTGGGAAAAGGTAATGGTTTTAATTTAATGAGTCAAGAAGTTTATATTTATTTTAAACCTCCCTCTATTAGTATGGAACTCTTAGGGACTGGCAACATTAACACTTTAAGAACAATATGATTTGTAATTTGTACTTTATTTTTAATTCCTTTATGAATTTTATTAAATAGTTCTTCATAATCCATGTGCTTTGTTACTTTGAAATAGAATTTTCATTTTATTTATGTGAAAGAATTTGAGCCTCCAAATTAGTTCTATTGAGAAGCAATTAGACTATATATAAAAGGCAAAGTTTAAATATGAAAAATGGAATAGCTGAAAGAATATAAGTTTAGGGCTGGGGCTGGGGCTCAGTGGCAGAGCACTTGCCTAGCATGTGCAAGGCACTGAATTCGATCCTTAGCATCATACACAAGTAAAATAAAGGCATTCTGTCCATCTACAACTACAAAAAAAATAGGGAAAAAATATAATTTAAATTTGTCCACTTTTGCAATTATGCATTTTTAAAGTTGCTTGCTCTTAGTATTAAAAAAAAAAAAGCGTTCGGGGGCGGGGGAGGGGGCTGGGGTTGTGACTCAGTGGCAGAGCACTTGCTTAGCATGTGTGAGGCACTGGGTTTTGATCCTTAGCACCACAAACAAAAAGTAAGCAAATAAAATAAAGGCATGCTGTCTATCTTCAACTACAAAAAAATTTTAAAAATAACAACAATAACAAAAAGCAGTATTACAGTCCATGTAGAGTCTCAAAATACTTTTAAAAAGGGTTCTGCCTGGCATGGTGGCACACAACTTAATTCCAGCAAGTGACTCAATAGGCCATGGCAGGAGGATTGCAAATTCAAGGTCAGCTTCAACAACTTAGAAAAATAAAAATGTCTAGGGATGTAGCTCAGAGGCAGAGTGCCCCTGGGTTCAATTCCCAGTACTCCCCCCTGCCCACCCCACCAAAAAAAAAAAAGTGTTGTTGATATTCTTATGTGGAGAGAGATGTAGTGTTGACATCAAAAGGCTCTAAAACCATGGATGCTTATACTACCTTTAGCCCACCTTTTTTCAGGATATCTGCTTTCCAATTTGTGGATTTCCCATAGCTAATACTTTCCTCAGATTCATTTTCCCCTGCCACCTAGTCAACCAGCCAGTCAACAAGTAACACTGTGGGTGCTGCATATAAGGTGAACAACTCATCCCTGTTCTGTCCTCATTTTTAACAATCAATTGGAAACCCCCTCATTCCCAAGAAAACTGGGACAATTGGTCATCCTGCTTGTATGTTACATATAGCATCTGACTTCATCCTAATACTGCACAACCTTAAAATTTTTGTAGTTTTTTCAGAGTGCATTCATCTGCATGCTTATGGAATGCAGACTTGTTTCCTGATTGTATTTACAAAATATAATCAAGGTAAATATGAAAATATCTGCTTATAACTAAAAACAGTTTTTGACTAATGATTTTATATCACTAGTTCAGATAATGAATGGATTATTTTATGGATATTTTAAAACATGCTATCATGGGAAAAAAGAAAAATTGGTCATTGGAAGATATTCAAAACATTAAACCTTTTCTTCAGCAGAGTGACTTCCAATTTTCCAAAGGCACTGTTCTGACTATACTTCTTATTAGTGTTTTGTATGTCCTCAAACTCACATGATTTTTTACCAGTCTCCTCTGGTAAAAAACTCCTTGGCAGGAGTTCATTATCAGACAAATGATTGCCTTTCTTAGGCAAATTTAAACACCAGTAGAAAAAATAAAGTCTGGGGAAATGATTTAGGAAATACAAAGACCTTTCTAAAGATGGAGTGTAGTATCAATTAGTATCAATACTAAGTTCTTGACTGTCTCCGGGATAAACAGGTGTTTATTAGCAACCCATTCTGCATGACACCGCTGTAGTGATTTTTTTCATAGCATGGAAACAATCTTGAAGGTAGGAAAACAAAATAGAAAATTATGATAGAGTACTTTAGTCTTCATAATAACTGTAACATAGTAAACTGAATGGCAATGTGGTGATTAATATCCCTTTCTTGAGGATATGAGTTTGAGGAGAGGTAACTAAAGTTTGAAGAAGCAAGTGTATTTTTACACATGATGGTAATGAGAAGTTTCACGTTATTTCTTTTCTCCTGTATATTTTTTAAGTTCTATTTCAGGTTAACCTTATATCATCAAATGTTTTATAAATGTATTAGCCAAATCCATGCAAGGTCTCTGTTGTACAGCAAGATTTTGTCCTAGAAATGTGACCACAGCATGTATATTGTTCCCTCTAATCTTTCTTACTGGTTTATTTTCAATAATGTTTTGCTCTAACAACAAAAAAGGGATGGGGAGGCTGCCAACAGTCTACATATTAGAACAGTTCTTTAAGGAAGGAAATGGAGGAAATCTCAGACAAAAATCAGGACAATCATTCGAAACATGATCTTTTTATACCAACTGTTTAGGCCAAAATGCATCTATTTTACTTTTAATCACTTGATTTTATTTATAAATTGCAATTCCCTGATCCCAAAATTTTATTCTTTATATATCTGGTTACTTGTATTGATATTTGTTTATGTTGGGCAGTGTGTGTCAGTGTGTGCTTGAGTGTGTGTTTGTGTTTATAATCACATGTGATTTTTAAGATGGTGTTTAAAAGAAGTAACCCTTCCACAGCATGTCCTCCTCACATTCTTCCACCAGAGAAGAGGCCCCCTGAACCCCCTGGACCTCCACCGCCGCCACCTCCACCCCCTCTGGTTGAAGGCGATCTTTCCAGCGCCCCCCAGGAGTTGAACCCCGCCGTGACAGCCGCCTTGCTGCAACTTTTATCCCAGCCTGAAGCAGAGCCTCCTGGCCACCTGCCACATGAGCACCAGGCCTTGAGACCAATGGAGTACTCCACCCGACCCCATCCAAACAGGACTTACGGAAACACTGATGGGCCTGAAACAGGTTTCAGTGCCACTGACACTGATGAACGCAACTCTGGTCCAGCCTTGACAGAATCCTTGGTCCAGACCCTGGTGAAGAACAGGACCTTCTCAGGCTCTGTGAGCCACCTTGGGGAGTCCAGCAGTTACCAGGGCACAGGGTCAGTGCAGTTCCCAGGGGACCAGGACCTCCGTTTTGCCAGGGTTCCCATAGCATTACACTCGGTGGTCGGGCAACCATTCCTGAAGGCTGAGGGAAGCAGCAACTCTGTGGTACATGCAGAGACCAAATTACAAAACTATGGGGAGCTGGGGCCAGGAACCACTGGGGCCAGCAGCTCAGGAGCAAGCCTTCACTGGGGGGCCCCAACTCAGTCTTCTACTTATGGAAAACTCTATCGGGGACCTACAAGAGTCCCACCAAGAGGGGGAAGAGGGAGAGGAGTTCCTTACTAACCCAGAAACTTCGGTGTTCTGAAAGTTTCCTTCCCTATCCCATCTTTTCATCCAGTCCTCTGAACCTTTAATGAAATCACTTGCCAGAGTGAGGTAATCATCTGCATTTGGCTACTGCAAAGCTGTCCGTTGTATTCCTTGCTCACTTGCTATTAGCAGGCGAATTACAAATAATGATGTGGGCATCAGTTCCCCCTGGATGGGTTATAGCCAGAACATGTACTTCAACTCTGCCTAGGAGATACAGTAGAGAATATGGAGAGGGTCATTAAATTGAAAAGTCAAGGTTATATTAGTTTATTGCCTGCATTTCTTGAGCAGAAGAGAGAACAGTTTGTTTTGAGATGGCTCAGGAGAGGCTCTCTTTGGTTTTTAAAGTTTTGGGATTTTTGGTTGGTTGGATTTTTTTTTTTTAATGGTTTCTTTCTTTTGAATTTTAATTTAGATTTTTTTCCCCTTTAAAGAGAATAGTGTTCACAGAATTTGAACTGTTCTTAGGCTTTTGCTAGAAGGAAAACAGTGGTCTGGCTGATTTAAATAAATGTTTCCTTCCTCTCCACATCTCACTATTTTTGCTTTTAAGTGAACACCCCTCTCCCCCACAATTGAGCATCTTGACCGTATCTTTTTTCCAAGTAAATTACTCATCCTTAAAGTTTATTACACTTTGACAAAAGATATGCCCCTTTCCCTGCACATAAAGCAGGTTGTAGAAAGTGGCATTTGGGGGCAAGTAGGTAAACTTGCCCAGTTTCTTTCCCTCCATCTCTTGTCTCTACCTCTCCCTCTCTGGCCCCTCCTTCTCTACCTTCTCCATCCTCCTCTGTTTTTGAGGCATTTGTTTGGAAAAAACATCGTTGAGATGCCCAAGAACCTGGAATTTTTTTTTTTTTTTTTAATAAAGGAAAGGAAATTCAAACTCCTACATTGTTCTCTGTAACTCTTCAATTCCAAAATGTTTTGGTTTTGTTTTTTTGTTTTTGTTTTTTTTTTTAAAAAAAACATGTTCTGATGGGGAAATTGATTTGTAAATGTGGATAGCCTAGGACATTGCTCTGAGCTGTGGTTATAAAGATGATGCCTCCATATACCTAGAGGGCTAATGAGAGCAGTTAGTTTATTGTTTACACATATATTTTTATGTCAAAAAAGAAAAAAAGTTTCAAACAGAGCATTGTGATATTGTCAAAAAGGGGAAAAAGCCCTGAAAATACATGGAAATGTAACCTAGTTTAGGGTGGTATTTTTTTGAAGATACATCAACACCTGATACCTTTTTTAAAAAATAATTTAAAAACAACATATCGTGAAAAAAAGAAAGAAAGAAAAAAACAGTATTGACATGTACACATCCCAGCATGTATATCCTTCCAATTATTTAGGGATTTTCTTCCAGAGAGATTTGATTTTGGTTTTGGTTTTGGTAAAAAGGTTAAAATGTAACTTCCTGGCAATAATTTTGCCTTATCATATAAACAGGAAATGGAAGAAAAAAACTCTCAGGGTTGGATAACTTGGGAGGCATCTCATTCTGGCTTCCATTTCTAAGAGTACCAGCATATGGAGTGTTTTAAAAACAGATACATGTCATAATTTATCTGCACAGACAGACCTTCGTGAAACATAGGTTAGTCCCTTTTTACAAAGAAAAGGCAAACATTCTTTCGAATCTTGGAGAATAGTTTAAAGCTCAAGTGAAGTTTCATGTTTCAATGCCAAGTTCTTATATTAAAAAATAAAATCTACTTATGACAGAAAGGTGCATTAATTTAAAAAACTTTAAAGAAATGAGAAGAACCCTCTTCAGATACTTACATGAAGATTATTTCCTCCTGTTACTGAAAAGATAGATGTTGGTGTGTGTATTTGTTTATTATTCTCTGGTTTTTGGTCTGGCCTTGCCCTCAGGGCCAAACATTGATTAATAAGAGAACCTTCTAGCCTTTTTGGTTTAGTGGCGTTTATACCAGTGTGTCAAATTAGATTTGCTAGGCACACTGATATACTATCAGTAAATTGCATTAAAAATTCATCTAAACCTTCTGTCTGTTGACTTCTTAGTCTTCAGACATGGGCATTTGTATTTTAGAATATTTGAATTTGAGGTATTGGTCACCCCTCCCCTGTTTTTGATTAAAGAAGCTGAGCCTGGGATACTTTTTAAAGTATCTGTTCAGTGAAAACAGAATTGTTTTCCCATTGAATATGAATAAAAGTATATTTTTCATTGTATTTTGGTTATCAGCAGTCACCAATAATGTTTTTCCCTCCCCTCTCCCACTCCTTATTTTTAATTATGCCAAATATTCTGAATAATATACTTAAGCTTCCATTCCCCCATCCCTGCTAGGGAAGGGGGTGGGTGTATGTGTGTGAATGTATGTGTATGTATGGTCCCATCTCACCCCCACCCCCATTTTGGGAGTCTGACCTTTAAAATGGGGGAAAAAAAAGTTTGGGAAGTTTTGACTATTTCTGAAAGCAGAGGGGGAAAAGATCTCACTTAAATATCCTGGAAATCTGTGTGAAGGAAGAAAAGGTATTTCGTAATTTTTCAGCTTATGTTATCTATAAACATGATGGAAGTAAAGGTTTGGCTGAATTTCAACTTGACTATTGGAAAGTTACAAATCCGATTAATTCCATTCAAAAGTGGTTTTGGTTTTGTCTTAACTATTGTACCGTGGAAGATATTAAGTCTATTAAATACATTATTTTGAACAGATGAGAAATCTGATTCTGTTCGTGAATGAGAGGCAAAACTGGTATGACCATGATTTTGAAAACAAATTTGCTTGACCCAGTTGCTTTAGTTTTTTCTTCAACTGTCCATAGGAAACATAAGGATTTGAAAACATCATCAGATCTAAATGTTTAAAGCCAGGGCAGTTAGCACAAATTTGTAAGTAGGACTTCTGTTAGCTTATGCCATAGACATCACCCAACCACTTGTATGTGTGTGTGTATATATAATATGCATATATAGTTACAGTGCTAAATGGTTACCAGCAGGTTTTGAGAGAGAATGCTGCATCAGTAAAGTGTCAGTTGCCACCTCATTCTCCCTGATTTATAGGTTCCTGACACTGTATTCCTCTCTCTTGTTTTTGCCCCCCATCGGGTGTACCTTGTCTATGTACAGATATTTTGTAATATATTAAATTTTTTTCTTTCAGTTTATAAAAATGGAAAGTGGAGATTGGAAAATTAAATATTTCCTGTTACTATACCACTTTTGCTCCATTGCATTTACTTCTAATTTCTGTACCTTCTGAGCATATCTAATTGTGTATAAAAGACATTTTACCTCCACTTTATCTTAGAGGTTCTCTGTCTCAAAAACACTATTGATTTCATAAGCTACCAAAAAACTTTCTCAGAGTTTTTGAAGAGGTGCTTGAAAACACTAGACTAGAAACTAGAGAATAAAAAAAATAAATAGGGAAATCCATAAGGCCTGACTTATAAAAGAAAAAATAGAACTAAACAGTTACACAAATATTGGTGGCACCCAGCCATCAAAAGAGTTGAGCTTCATGTACCCTGACTCCTCCTGACAGGAGAGGTAAGTGGGTTTGAGCTCAATAGTCATCGAGGGAAGTTGGTAAGAAGCTGTTTAGATCCAAAGAATAATCTCTTAAACCAGGCTCTCCACCATCCCACCCCAACCCAGTTCCCACAATGTTATAGAGCAGGGTCAGCATGGGCATTAGTATACCCAGAGATTTCCCAATGCCTGCCAATCCAGAAAGTGAATCAATGTTGTTTAAAGGTTAAAGTCCCTATTATTATTTCAAAATAATAATAACTTGGTTATTTCAAAAACCAAGTGGCTCATGCCTGTAATCCCAGCAACTCGGGAGGCTGAGGCAGGAGGATCTCAAGTGAGGCCATCCTGAGCAACTTAGACCCTAAGCAACTTAGCAAGACCCTGTCTCAAAAGAAGGGATGGGATGTGGCTCAGTGGTTAAGTGTCCCTGGGTTCAATCCCCAATACCAAAAAGCAATTCTATTTGTAAAATTTTTCCTATCTCCACCTGAAGAGAGAATTATTTTCCTTTCCCTTTAATGGTTTAGAAGACTGAGGATAAATTTTCTCCTGTGCTACAATCCTGCTAGTTATGACAAGTAGGTAGCCAGCAGATAGAATTCATCAAGAGAAAGGATTAGGGAGGATGAGTATCTGGAAGTTGTAAGTGGGGTGAGCAAGTTGTACAAGGTCAAGGAACACCCTAGAACAAGGGGAGTTAGGAGCAAGTTGAAATTAAAAATAGCCGATGATATGGGTCGCCAGCCTGTTTTTGAATCTTCAGTTTTTGGTGTTGCCTTGCCTTTGGACTAAGTCATGTCCTCTTTACCCAGGAGATTGGAGAGCTAAGATTGTTCCTGTTTCTGGAATTAGGTGTTCTGTTTAGTCTCCAGAGAAAAAGAATTAGTTTTACATGTTTTTTTTTTCTTTGTAGTTGTAGATGGACAGAATGTCTTTATTTTATTTGTTTATGTGGTGTTAAGGATCAACCCTCACACATGCTAGGCAAGCGCTCTGCCACTGAGCTACAGCCCCAGCCCAGTTTTATGTCATATATATATATATATATATAAAGTTACAAGTTCGTGACTAGGGATGTGAACTCGTATTGTTCCCACTTTATAGCAGTGGCTCTCTTTTCAAATCTGTGCCTAAAAATCGATCCTAACTATCCTG